CTCCTTTAATTCAAAAACAAGATACAAAAATGAGGGTATGGCAATAACATGTCGAACGAAATTGGAAATAACTTTAAGATATCTTGCAACTGGTGACAGCTTAAAATCCCTTCAGTATCTTTTCAGAGTGCCACACAATACAATATCTACATTTCTACCGGAAGTGCTTAAAGCTATTTATGAAGTCATGGAACAATTTATACAGGTATGTGTATGGTATCTCATTCATTGGAAACAGGACCACTTCACTTCACTCATTTTTCACAAATTTTAATTGAAACCAACTTTTCCACAACAAACCAAACCCAAACATGCACAGCCACTAGCCGCTACTACGCTAGTACACATGTCACACCGGCTACTCGGTAGCCGCTAGCCAATCACGTGACTCACTAGCCGCTAGTTAGTAGCTCGGAAAATTGGACATGTTCAATTCTCGACGCTAGTGAAATCTGACTAGCGTGCTACTCCCACTAGCCGCTACTGCCTATGTCACATTGGCTACTCAGTATATACTAGTATCCGCTATTTCACTAGCGGCTAGTAAAGTAGCCTAGTGTGACACAGCCTGAACATGTCCAATTTTCCGAGCTACTAACTAGCGGCTAGTGAGTCACGTGATTGACTAGCGGCTACCGAGTAGCCGGTGTGACATGTGTACTAGCGTAGTAGCGGCTAGTGGCTGTGCATGTTTGGGTTTGGTTTGTTGTGGAAAAGTTGGTTTCAATTAAAATTTGTGAAAAATGAGTGAAGTGAAGTGGTCCTGTTTCCAATGAATGAGATACCATACACATACCTGTATAAATTGTTCCATGACTTCATAAATAGCTTTAAGCACTTCCGGTAGAAATGTAGATATTGTATTGTGTGGCACTCTGAAAAGATACTGAAGGGATTTTAAGCTGTCACCAGTTGCAAGATATCTTAAAGTTATTTCCAATTTCGTTCGACATGTTATTGCCACCCTCATTTTTGTATCTTGTTTTTGAATTAAAGGAGTTACCAAGGTTAGCAGCTCATCAAACTTTTTTACGGACATTCTCATAATATTGTAGTACGATTTCGGGTCCTCAACAGCTAGTTCTCTAATAAGTGTTCCTGATGCACCCAGCCTGTCTCTTCTCTTAATCCACTCTCTTACCCAGGAGCGTTTCTTCTTGTTGCGGATATTTTCAATTAAATCAATACAAACATCACTAACGCACATCAAAATTAAACGCCGTAATTCAACCCGGCTTATACCAACAGACGACATTTTCACAGGATTGACACTGACTGGCTGAATCGCTGCTACTAGGTAGCCGCTACCGACATTTGTTGTGTGACAGCTTTTACTAGCGGCTACTTCACTAGCCGCTACTAAATAGCAGCTAGTAAGTAGCCTAGTGTGACACAGCTAGGGTTTCCAAGATCACGCCAGCGTATCTGTCCGGGTCCGGCGTGATGTCCGTTGGCGCTAATTTTTGTCCGGCAGATGTCCGATCAAGCTCGGCGTGAGAGTGGTTTGCAAGAAAGTGGACATTCGCAGTTTTTTCACATTTTTACAAGAATCCTCACAGAGTACTCTTATACTTGTCCGCTCGGCGTGCACGCCAGAAATGACTTGGGTCATTTCCAGCGTGCCGCGCTCTGGACTCACGCCGGACAGATGGTGGGAAAGCTCATGTCCGGCGTGATCGCTCGCGCTTGGAAACCGCACCCATATAAAAGCACGGCTTCAATTTAAACTTGATTACGTAATCACGCTTGTCCACTCACGCTGTCCGTCCGGCGTGATCTTGGAAACCCTAGCTTTAAACAACAACAAAAAAATAGGAAATAATGTTCAAAATGGTTTGAAATTTCACCCAAACATTTTTAAGAACATGTAGGCTAAATTAATTTAAAATTAAAAAAGAAAATTATTTAATTTAGATCAAAACTGACCATTGGAGGAGGCGTATCCCCATAATATACGTTTCGCGTGTTGTTAAACTTATTTTGATTTACTTTTGTTTTTTTACCTAACCCGCCATGTTAAACTTCCCTATCCCAAGCGTGATGTATACAACTTCTTTGCTTCTCGAGTGATGTAAAGTTGAAAAAAACTCACTCGGTGAGGTAATGAAACCCATTTACAGGGCCGGATTTAGCATTTTTGCGCCCCTAGGCCCAAAAAATTTTCCGCCCCCTAGTCTGGTCACAGTAACTTTCCTTCAACCTTTATTAAAAACTACATCATGCCCATAGGCCTAAGTTAATTGCTTGAATACCACTCCTCGTTGGAATCATAGAATTTTTTTTAAGAATTGACTTGTTTAGTCTTAACAAAATGCCGTCTTAAACACTTTTAGCAATTTTATGTTTTTAATAAATGCTCACGTTTGTGGCCGTGGGACTGAAATAAAACAACTCAACCCACTGAGCATTCCTGAAAAAAAAACATGGCCATTGATTTCAATTCCAGGCCCAAAAACATGAACTCTATACAGTACGTAATACCATAGATTAAACATACTCCTTTAGTAGATTTGTCATCATTTTGGATTAGCTGAAAACAATTCTTGTTATTTAAGGAGTATGTTTTATCTATGTTCAAACCTAGTTTATCCACAATAAAATGATCTAATCATCAACAATAGGTCGTCTCCTGTTTATATTACAAGAAATTGAAACACACATCATAGAACTAACCGAACTAACCCTAAAATAATGTAAACAAAATTACGTCAAAACTAACGTCCAGTGTCACCAACATGAACCGAACTAGACATAAACAAATTTTGAATTATCAATTTCATAAGAAGTCGACTTGAGTTACATATAATCTATGGTCGTACTACATCTAGGTTTTATTTCCAAACAAAACAGATCAATATTCCGGCCAACCGTACCGATCCTCCTGAGGTCTGAGGAGAAAATGACAGCGTTACTAATGGTGCTTTGGAGGGTATTGAATTGTTCCAAAATCTAATGCAAACTGAGATTAATATTTTGTCGTTAATTTTAAAGGTGAATTCGTCGTTGTTTTAATATTCAACACAACTTATTATATATTTTTACTTGATTCTGCAGATTGTTGTAAACTAATCAAAGGATTAGTTATTTTCAAAATAAACTTATCACACACTTTTATAGAAATTTCTATATTTCGGCATTAGCCTTCTTCAGGAACAAACACAATAACAAATAGAAGTGTTTACCACTCTGAATCATATGGTTTTAGCAAAAATCCAAAATACATATAATTTATGAAGAAGTAAAAAAGAAAATGTTTTGATAGAAAGAAAGAAAAAATTTTTTATATATATATATGTATATATATACTATCTCAAATTTAGATTTAAGTATTAATTGATGAGCTTGCTCAAGCTGTCTTAATTTCAAGTCTGGTGCGTCTTTTGCCAATTTTCTTATTCCTTTTAATGAATAACATTGTTCAAAATTTTGAGAATGCTCTCTCGCATGAATAGCCACAGGTTTTTGTTTATCAGGATGGTTTACATCATATCTGTGGCCATTCATACGAACTCTTAGAGCATTGGTGGTTTTGCCAATGTAGTCTTTAGGACAATTTTTGCATGAAATTTGGTAAATTACATTAGTAGACTCACAGGTGATGTTACTATTTATATTATAACATCTTTTTGTTTGCCTGCTTGTGAAAGTTTTTGATGGGATGATTAATTTGCAAGTGGCACATCGTGGTTTGTTGCATTGATTACAGCCCTATAACATGCGAGAGAGCATTCTCAAAATTTTGAACAATGTTATTCATTAAAAGGAATAAGAAAATTGGCAAAAGACGCACCAGACTTGAAATTAAGACAGCTTGAGCAAGCTCATCAATTAATACTTAAATCTAAAACACCTTCCGGTCTAAATTTGAGATAGTATATATATACATATATATATAAAAAAAAATTTTTCTTTCTTTCTATCAAAACATTTTCTTTTTTACTTCTTCATAAATTATATGTATTTTGGATTTTTGCTAAAACCATATGATTCAGAGTGGTAAACACTTCTATTTGTTATTGTGTTTGTTCCTGAAGAAGGCTAATGCCGAAATATAGAAATTTCTATAAAAGTGTGTGATAAGTTTATTTTGAAAATGATTAAGCCGTTTGGCAATATTATGAAGAAACAAAGGATTAGTTAATAACTTTTGTTTTGTGAGGTGAGGATGGTAATAATGTCTAGCACGCATGCGCCCCTAATCACTCTGATCAGTAGTACGAGGTAGTACCGAGCCCAAGCCAGCATAGTGGCAGTGCAGTGGCAAATACGATGCGTACCCCTTGGGCGCTCGTCAACGTCAACATCCCTAATACAGCCTACTCCCGTATAACCAATGTTCGTTACCAGTTTTATAACGAAATTGATGCGTAATTCTGAAAAATAGTTTAAATTTCCTAACTATTATTTCTTCTTATGAACTTCAGAATCGCAATGCATTGGAGTTTTTTTAAATCAACTATGACTATTTATTTTTGTTTTTAGGTAGCCTAGGTATTTAAAAAAAATATATTCTTGGCCGTGCGCCCTCTGGCACCTTGCGCCCATAGGCCCGGGCCTACCGGGCCTATTGGGAAATCCGGCCCTGCGATTTAAATAGCATTGAGTGATTAACTTAAAAAATATACCTCTATGGAGCCAACGACGTTCAACGCTAGAAATCAGCTGTGCGCTTGAATTTTATTGTTATGTTTTGAAGAACTTTTTCTAACCTAGCTTTTGTTTGTAAATGAACGTTACTGTTAGAAGATGAGTGAAATGGATAATGAAACTGTATATTTTCGGGTCAGGTAAAATCTTGTACGTTACACGTTACGCAAGGAGCGTGTTTACATCACTTAGGTAAATTATGCAACTCGCTTCCGCTCGTTGCACAACCTTCACCTGCGTGATGTAAAAACGCTCTTACTACACTTGTAAGGTAAATAGCTATTTTCTGACTTGTTTCACTAAAAAAAAGTAATGACATCCAACACTATTTTAATATTATTTGCATATTATAGACATATCAGCTGATTTGGTCAGTCCAGCGTTCCAAGGTGAGTATGATGGCGTAAAATATCATGATCCAGATCTGGACGATGTTCTCAGTAGAGCTCGGGAGAACAAGGTCAAGACGATTCTCATCCCAGGAAAAAATCTGGCTCACACTAGGGCTGCCCTCAATCTAGCAAAGAAACACAGTAAGTGTCAATAGCTGTAATCTCAATCTTAGTAAAATATATATTTTAATGAACCTTGATTAGCTTGAAATCAATGTAAATTAAATTGGCAAAAGAATTGTCTTTCATCAATAGTAATCCATGTAAAAGAATGGTGTATGATCCTGGTAGACAGAGATAATGGCTTTAACAAAATAAAAAAATTCACACTTTATGGCAAGCAAGTCCATTGGCCAAGAGCTGCAAGATTCATTTGTAATACTTATCAATGTAGCTTAGGTTTAATTTTTCATTGAAGTTATCAAAGATTGTATAGTCAAGAAGGAGTTAGCCAAGGAGATCCACTATCAAATTATACGGCCTGGCAACACATCCATTCAAGAACTCAAAAGAATTCCGAATACATCTCAAGTTTGGTATGCAGATGACTCTTCTTGTAAAGACTCCCTTGATGATTTGTGGAATGGTGGGAAAACTAGTTCAAAAATATGGATACTTTCCTCAAATTAATAAAACAAAATTGATTTTCAATCATTATAATATATCCAAACAATTTAAAATTCTAAACAAATTGTGGACATTTGTAGGCATGCACTATGGATGCGATACTCCCTTATGTGGATTAACGTCCGCGCAAGTGAGTACTACGACTATCCGCAGTACTATCCTGATTAATTAGTGAGTCGGTGGCTCTGTCAGTAGCGTCACGGACTTCGGGCCCAAGGCAGCGATGTCGTGGGTTCGGGTCCTGGTCACTACCGAAAAAATTATCAGTACAGTTCACCCTTGTATTGTACCGGCTCACCCCTTGCTTTGCTGGATACGATCCACGAACGGGCGGTTAGTCTATGTGGACGGGCAAATGCATGTTTAAAAGAGGCCACCAACCTCTTAAAAAAATAGACCAATTCGTTAATTACAAGGCAAAAATGTGGTTTGGAAGGTCCATTAGTTACCATTGGCTGTATGGGCTATTAATTAACAGATGTGTCTAAGGAACATGTCGGTACAAGATCGTGCCACTCGTCATACACTCATCTCCATTCATACTTGTCTTAAAATACATACAAGGAATATGGTCGCCATTTCATAAGAAAGTATAAGAGTATTAAAAATAAAATATCAGGTATGCAAATGTGTAAGTGTAGTCAATGCACAATGTAGAACCTAGAGCAAAACATGGATGCTGGCTATCATGCGTGCATCTGAAGAAACTTAATTGTGGACATGTCCCGACAAGAATTTAGGCATGACCTATCTTTACACTATGGCTAAACAACAGACTTTCCATTACAATTTGAAGGATGCGCATTGATTTAAATACAGAGCATGCTCTGAAATGTCACAATGGAGGTTTTATAATAAAAAGACACAATGAAGTAAGAGAAACGATAAGTAATATGATGGACCAATCCTGGGGAAATTGAAACGGACAACCTTTCCCAGGGTTATAATTGACATGCGAATTTCTGGCCTGCTTTGCAGGGATTGACAACCTTTCCCTTTAGCGGAAGGCAGTCATCTATGTGAACCTGCACCAAAAGCTTCGGATGGAAGCATTGTTTACTCTATCTCATGTCTCCATCTCTCATCGACAAGTTATAATAAATCAGAAGATGACAAAAAAGTATACAAAAGCTTGCGAACAACAACATGCATCATTTACTCCTCTTGTCACAAGTGTTGATGAAATTTTTTTGTTGAAAAACTATCAGAAAAATGGAAAAACTATACAGTTTGGTAATGAAGTGGATCAGATCAAGAACAATTTGTGCTGTTGTAAGGGCAACAACTAGGCCTATGTGTCTGAGATGAACAAGAAAGAAATTGCGGTCAGCGAGGGGGTTTGAAGATGGAGCTGGGATTCCAAATTTTCTTTAGTGTAAAAATTTATTGTTAAATTTTGATTGTACTGTACTCTTTTTTGTAAAATTTCCATTCTAATCTATATTATTAAAAGAAAAAATGTTTCAATTTAAAATAAATTTAAGTTTAAGGGTTTTGGTTTGGTTTGATTACAGAAAACATGTTTTGTTCTGTTGGCTGCTCCCCAATAAACTGTAACGAATTTGATTCTCAAGGTAGAAGGTTTTATCTCTCAGAAATGAAGAAACTTATTGACGCCAACCCTTACAAGATAGTGGCAGTTGGAGAATGCGGACTCGACTACGACAACCTCAACAAATGTGATAAAATAACCCAAATCAAGTATTACTGTAAGCTCTCTTGTTGACATGCATGTGTATTTTGACCCTTTGAGCCCAAAAGTTGATTTCATAAATTTAACTATTCCTTTTTATGCTATCCCAGTTTCAAAAACTGTAATTATATTATATTTAAATTTGTTGTTGTTGCCTGAGCTCTTGTAAGATGTTTGTGTCACCCTTTGCATTTGCACCTTGTGGGGGCATCTTCAGAGGCGTTATTGTGATTTCATCTTATTATCACTAACACTATAATATATATTTACGATAAACAACATCAAAGCAAAGCACCCTCCTGAACATAAACCAGTCAAGTCCAAACTACCCTTTAACTGTCAAACGGCCTAAATGCCAACACCCCCAGTCCAAGAAATAAAATAGAGGAAGAAAACCTCTCGTTGTGAATGCTTCGTGTCCGTTGCGTTGTCCAAACGACCTGACCGTGTATGTGTAAATAAAGACTATATTCTTCATAATAGTTAGATGAATTAACATAAAGACCCCCTGACAATGCCATACAAGGTGGTGAAATGCTTAGGTTGACACCAGCATCCTACCTATAAGAACTCAGACAACAACAACGATGTAAATCTAATATAACCGTTTCTATTTTAAATTATAGAACAAATTCCTATACAACAAATCCTTGTTGGAGGAACGCATTGTCAGGATAGGTAAAAGGTAGCGAAATGCCTGGTTTGAGATGCAACTAACAAAGAGTCCACCCATCTCGTCAACTTCCACCTGAACCGTACATCGTATATTTTATATTGGACCTCTCCCATACCTCATGAGCTGTACACTAGACTTGACCAAGACAAGATTCAAATACTGAGTCTACGGTGCTGTCTCCCAAACCACTAGGCCATTTTTGAACGAGCTTTTTTGGTCTACCACACTAACAATAATTTTAAGTCATGCCGGAGAATAGTACGGTGGTTTTTAAGTTGACTACCCGGCTGCAGCACACGTCAGGAACATATTAGGCATTTGAATCAACAAAAAAGTTTGATTTTTTGTTGATTAAAATACCCAATAGATATTTTTAAATAGAGGATTGGTTATGTTCAATCTTGATGATATATTGGTTTTAGGGGCTCAAGGGTTAAAGCTCTATAACATAGTATATAAATGGAAGACGTGAGGCAAACACTTAAAATAACAAGATTTTCTTGACATTTAGAAAATAGACAATCTTTAATCTTTTATATTGTGTTGCATGTACCAGAACTTTTTAAACTAAAACTCTTAAAAACATATGCCTAGATTAATTTGTGTTCTAAGAAATATAACTTCAGATTCATTTGATGACGATGGAAGTAAATTTTTTATAACATTTAATTATTTTGCAATCATAAGTGATTAGATAGAAAATAAACTTGCAGGTGGTCGAATGAAGTAAAGAGATAAACTGAAAATAAGCATTTAAAAAATTTAAAACTATATTATTTAATTTTTCCAAAAGGCATTAGTACAACCAGGTTTCAACCCTAATTAAATCATTTTGTGTCTCATTTGTTGCTTGGTGTTTTTTTTAGGTATTTTCAATTACAAATTGAATTAGCTAAGCTTGCTCAACTGCCGATGATAGTTCGATGTCGAAATGCTTATGATGACATAATCCCAATTTTGGGATGGGAGCATGAGCACATTCCTAATGGAGGAATCATCTTGGGATTTGATGGTTCTGATGATCAAGCTAGACGACTTCAAAGAATGGATTTTAAAATTGGAATAAGTGGATGGTAATTGATTATGTAACAATATCCCGTAGATTTTGTCAGTCTCTAGCTCCTGATTAAGCCATTTTCAAAACTAAAAAATATGACAGCAAATGCAAAATCTTGTAAAGAAGAGTTTCCTAATCCAACTAATACCACAAGGAATGCTAAGGGTTGATAAAGAATTGGACGTAAGGTGAAAATATTGCTGGTACCTATAAAAACATGATCAGATTAATACTTTGGATTAAATTTCTTTTTGAGATTTGTAATTTCTTTGAATGGATACACATTGATTTAGAAAGCTTTCATGTGTGGCGTCAAATACCAACATAAAATTTACATTTTATTCTGGATGGAATGTATCAACTTTAAAAAATCTCTTAAGAAAGTAAGATTAAGTAAGTAAGTAAGAAGTAAGAAAATAAGTACGGAAAGACCAATTGAACAGGTGTCGTGTCATCTCATCCATACTCTACAAACGTAATACATATCTCTGCTCACCAACTAGTTCCCCATAAACCTACGCTATGGTTCACTTGCATGTTTACAAAAACTATTGGAAGGTTTGTAAAAGCCTAGATGTACGATTGTATACAGAATTTGTATTTTATGACCTTCCTTCTATCAATCGTCACACAGTGATATTTAGTCCTTAGCTCTTGTACGGTTGGTTGGTAATCGAACGTTTTCAAGACATTGTCATAATCACCTTTTACACATGTAAAAATATAAGTGCGCCTAGACCTCAACAATTTTCTGAATCCTCCTCTGGTACATTTAATACGCAACAAGGGTATTCTTAACTCAATCTTAACTTAACTTAACTTAAGGGTAATCCTTGTCAAGTTTTCAAGTGGATGAGATTTGCACTAATTAGTATGTTCAATCGAGTTTAAAACTAACTTGGACAAGATGGGACCTTTTTCTAGGAAACTGTATATTGGACAAGTAAGCACCTGGAGGAGATGGCACAACTTTATTAATGATACAAAATTTACTCTATTTTCCAAGGCAGGACTCTTTCATCTGAATTTTTGGGATGCAACATTGCAGAGCTCGTAAAGAACAATTGTTCACTTAATTACTCATGGATTGAGTTTTAGCCCCATAGTCACATCGGCTGTTGGATCAAAGAACAAGAAATTATTCCTATCCATGAATGTATCCAATATGTCCATTTTCAGTTCCCTGAAGACCAAAGAACAGCGAGAGGTAGTGAGAACTATCCCGCATCAGAGCCTGATCCTTATGTCAGATTCTCCAAACTGTGAAATCAACATAACCGATTTTGGAACATCAAGATTCCTCAAGACAACATTCTCATCAGAGCCAAAATCTCAGTGGACACCTGGGAAGAGAGTCAGCGGTCGTAATGAACCAGGAAACATCATGTGAGTTTTTGTTAAATAGTTTTTTAAAAAGTAACTTTTGTACTTTTAACCAACCAACTTTGATTACCAGGTTTTCACATTTCTGTGTACAAAAGTTATAGTTCATTAAATTTTGGACATTGGTAATCAGATAAAAAATTCTCAGATAAAATCAGATAAAATCTTGGTTCATTAATTTGTTGGGCATTAATGGACTACTTATTTTATCTTTTAGCTCAATGGCTAGCGATTTTAATGTAAAACAAAGTCAGGAAAAAGTGAAAGTGGTTGTCATCGAAGTAATTTGTTCACTCTACTTTATAGGTGTGAGTTGGAAGGATTTTATTCTCAATATTTGCACAGATCGGGAGTAGAATTTGTTTACATAATACCACCCGGGTATTGTTTAAGTTAATACCTTTATTTATGGTTCTTCCCGGTATTTGAGGGTAGCAACCGCTAGAGTGGGGGTAAAACATAACAGGGAGGCGAGATGCAGTGCGTTGGCCTTAGGCAGCACATTATACATCGATGGGCAGCACTCAGTAGATATACCTAGGCCTTGGGTCAGGCCTAATCCGCTGTTGTCAAAACACAGCTATTATTGTGAATCCGAGGGGGCGCGCAACCCGTCCCAGCTGTCATTGCTACTGCCTCCCTTTAATTCTTTGATATAATTCTTTCTCTTTAATGCCTTACTAATCACTAAGGATACCTATCTGTACAAACATCTGACAAATACAGCGAGGAAATGTCCTCATGATAAAAACACGGTGTCATAAATCAAGAACTAATTCTAAAGCTTGATATTTCTATTTGTTTCCAGCCAAGTCCTTGAAGTGGCAGCAGCATTGAAGAATATCAGTCTGGACTATATTGCTTACCTCTCAAACAAATCATGTAAAGAAATATTCTTTAGCAAGTATAAAAGTTACCATGATCACATAAAAAGAAAGAATTCAGATGGGAGTACAGAATTGCAATAAATTTGAATACTCTCAAATCACATTTAATCATGCTAAGATTTTATATAGTAATCAATAATCAAAGTGTGATATGTATTTTTCTTCCCTTTATTATTAACTAAACAAGTATCTACCTGTTATAAAGAATTAAAAGATTGTAGTTGACAGTTTTTTTAATCTTTAAAAGATAAAACTGTACAAAACTTATTCATTAAATCCCTCAGTTATAGCTTATTATGATGTATAATAGTGTTTTGTAGTTCTGTGCCAGTTTGGACTCTTTCCCATTCAGGTAAGCCTGATGTCCTCATTGAAAATCCTAAAAACCTAGACCCTTGTGTTCTATGTTATGTTCTTAACCTCAGTTTATTTTATTAATTAAACTGAATAATTAAATATTTCAATGAAGAGGACATAAAAGGAGAATGTTCATTGTATAATATCTCTAAATCTGATGTTGAAACAGCCATACTTTCTCTTAAAACTAAAGTAACTTCTGGCATTGATGGTATTACGAGTTCTCTGCTGAAACAAACGTATAAACCAATCTTAAAAGCAACCACCTCTTTTTCAGCAGATCACTCCAACCAGACATTTTCCCAAATGTTAAGTTTCAAAAATAATCCTAGTTTTAAAAAAGGCAGTAGAGGTAACGAGGACAACTATAGAACAATTGCTCTTCTTCCGACACTGTCCTAGGTTTTAGAGAGGCTAGTCTACGATCAGACTTGAATCTTTTTAGCTAAGCATGAATTAATAGTTTGTCACTGATGCTTAAGTCAAATTCACTTCAGTCTGGATAATCTCAAGTCTGGAAAATAGTGAACCGGCAATTGGTTTATTTTGTGGTGACTCATCAAAAGTATTCGATCGGGTTCACTATGATATTCTTTGTGACAAACTTGAATGGTATACTTAGAATCCCTCTTCAATGGCTCAGGTTAATTTTAGTGGGTCGTAAGCAATACGTTGAGCTTCATTATATTGAGTTTTAGCCTCATGATCGCAATTAAATACTAAAGAATTGGTGTAAATACATGCATTTATGCGATCAATGTGTTGCTAAATTGCAACCGTTTTTGACTCCTATGTGACTCCTATGTGACGGGATGTCACTTGAGTCAAAAACGGTTGCAATTTAGCAACACATTGATCGCATAAATGCATGTATTTACACCAATTCTTTAGTATTAGCCTACGTTGAGGTTGACGCAGAATGCTGTGAATGAAGTGAAATATGGTGTCCCTCAGGGCTATATCCTTGGGCCTCCGCTTTTTATTCTTTATATAAATGACGTCGGTGCCTATGTTTGTCCTAACTCCTTAACGTTGTAGGCAGATGATATCACTATGCTTTTTAAGGGCTTGTCTGAGGTTGTTCAAGAGAACACGTCTTCTTCAATTACAAATTAAGATGACTGGCTTTTTCATAATAATCTTCTTTTAAACCAAAATAAAACTATGTCAAATTTCTAACAAGAAACAAAATCTGCTTTTAAAACTACCACAATCTTCCATAAAAGATCTTTCTGAAGACAAGTTCTTAGGCGTTGTTATGAATTTTCATCTGACGTGGCAATCACATATTTCATATCTTTGTGGTCGTTTGAGCAAGGTGAGTTTTGCCTTGAGAACATTGGTTTCCTTGCTTGATCAGAGGGACCTGATCAATGTTTACCAAGGATGCTTTTAGGCTGTTATGTCATATAGACCATGAGCCCCCAATATGAAACCCTCCCCCCCCCGTGGGAATTTATGACTTATACTTTTTTTTGTTGGTATTACCTATCAGATTAAGAATTCAGTTGTTTGCCTCTTTTAAATTACAGCGTATTCCGGAAAATAAAGAAAAACTGTTTTATTTAAATTACATAAGGATAGCCTGCGTTAATTACTGGTGAAATATTTTTTATGGACTTCTTCAGTATGTATTCAAAGGCTTCAAATGAAAATAAAAAAAGTTAATAAAATACCCCCGCTGCAGCAAACTTGCAGGCAATGCGGATTTCAAATTGGTCTGAATTGATTTTCAATTAAATCTATTTAAATAACATTAGATTTAACGAGTACCTCTAGGAAAGAGATTTTAAGAGATTCTATTTAAATTAAATAAATTTTATTGAGAAATTTTTGACGCAAATTTTACTGGAATGTAAGGTTCCAGTAAAATTAACGTATAAAACTTTGTTTTCCTCGTATCAAAATCGGATTTGCGACAGTAATTTTCTTTTTAAATTTCTTTAAAATAATGTGCTGATTGATATGGGTTGCCTTTAAAAAAATTTAAGTTACTCTTAGCAACCCTGTTTGTAGGTGGGGGGTGAATTTAAAAATATCACCAAAAAGAACCTTACATTACCCTTGAAACGTGTATTGAAGCTGGTTTGAATTTATGCATATTTGTGCTGAGACCATTCATTATTTAGCAGGTTAACCCATTTTTCCTTATTTTTACCATTAGCTAGGGGTTTTCCAATCCTGTGGGATCTTGATTTTGGACCTCTCATTAAAAACGTGTCTCCAAATCCCCTTCTCCCTTTCAATGTTTTTATTAGATACATCTTAATAGGTATCCGTAATAAAGTATATCCTGCTGAATTTCGGAAAACGGCTGAAGGCAATTTGTGCTAGTTCACCAGAGGTTTCTGGAATATTAGTAAGAACCTAAAAGTAAGCCATGCCGTCAATTACATACATTCTTCAATCTTGGAAGGTTCGTCTACTATATACCCTTGTTCTCCAAAGCATGGAGCAGTTTGGCCTTTTCTGTTTTTGTTGGGCATCCATCGGTAGTGGCTTATGCCCATGGTCCTGGATCTAATGGGTATGTAATGGGTATGTAGCTTCACAAGGTTAATATCACGTTCCTGGGATAGCAGTAAAACTCCAGAAAAATATTTCTTTTAGCTCATATCTCAACTAATCTGTTTGCATGCAGCTTTCCCTAGATTATCTACATTGAGTAAATTGTCTTCCACCGATTTGGGTACAGGTCTTCCAGCTGATAAACAGACCATCTAGGAATTCTGATCACAGTTTTCAACTTCAAGCAGAATAATGCATTGTTCAAAAGCATGAAGTACAGTACTTGCAAAATACTTTGCTCACTTCGTTTCATTTCATTTGCTTGCATGCCACTGAGAACAATCTGATGACTTCACCATACTTGCATTTTAAAATTCTAACTAGCTGTGGGCCCGTCCTAGCACAGGAATCAACTAATTAAATCAAATCAAACTAAAACATCGATACTAAAGGACCCATGCTGCACTGCAGCGTTAAAATAAATATCATATCCGAGAAATAATCAAATTTGTGATTTTTGATTGTGTAATACCCCATGCTGCACTGCAGCGTTAAAATAAATATCATATCCGAGAAATAATCAAATTTGTGATTTTTGATTGTGTAATTATTTCTGTGTATTGTGTGTATATATTGTGTATATTATTTCTTCGATCGATAAATATATCTTAAACTTAGCCTTACTGATTCAAACGATCAATAGTTCAATTTAAAGCCTATAATTGACTGATTATTTTGAGTCTAAAACATATAAAAAACGTAAACAATACTGGAGCTATTGATATTCAATCATAGAAAAACCTTATAATTTATTTTATGTTGGATGTTCACCTTGCGTTTACTTGAAAACGATCCGATTTGAATAACTAATGCAAGCCGGTATTTCACTGAAGGTTCTTATATATATATAGGTTTATATAATTATAAATGGTAAAATACTGTACAATTTAAATTGAAATACGAATTAAAAAATATATCAAATCTATGTTTTTTGGTCGAGTAATAAAGTAGATAAATATACGATGATGCTTGATGTGAAATATATGTGTGCATACTACCAATTTAAGACCTCAATCATGAAGATCGGACGGAAGAACTCCCTTTAGAAATACATGGGGGGTAAATTTAATTTACGTATAAGCCGAGTGGGACTGTCGATAAATATATACTGATGCTTGATGTGAAATCTGTGCATGCAGCATACCTTCAATTTGAGACCACAATAATGAAAATCGGGTGGGTAGAAGCGCCAAACGAACTCAGAAAATAAAAACCAAATTTAACTCCCATAAGAAAAACATGGGAAAAAATGTTGTTTACGTATAAGCCAAGTGGAACTGTAGGCAAATATATACCGATGCTTGATGTGAAATCTGTGCATTAATACCATCAATTTGAGACCTAAATCATAAAAATCGGTCGGGTTGAAGAGCCAAACGAATTCGGAAAAGAAAATAAAATTATTTAAATTCTAACTATCATTATATTTTTGTGTTTTTCCGGAACATGCTGTAATTCACAAGGGGCAAACACCTAAAACCTTAAAGTACATGTCAATACGAGCACAAAAATGTATATTTCAAAAATTCCCACCGGGGGGGAGGGGGGAGGGTATAGACCAGCCTCCGCTCTAATATGGTATAGAGGTTTGGGGAGGTTCCACATACGCAAACATAGCATTTATGGAACAGAAACGACTGGTTCAAATTTTATCTGGTCTCCCACCCCCCACTCTTTGTAGGGGAGTTTTTAGAAATCTTAATATTCTCAGACTTTCTTCTCTTGTTTAAGTGGTCGTTTTCATCAAGCATTAAATTAGGTACCCTCCTGCTGGCTGTTGGAGATTGACATAGATCCCACCAGACATGGCTCAGATCTTCTTTTCTTCCACAATTTTGCCTGTCCCTGTCTGAAAGAGAAACTTTCACATCGGGTATAAAGATGTTTAACTGTCTTCCAACCAGTGTAAAGTAATGTGTTGATAAACAAGTTTAAAACACGTTTGAAAACCTACCTTGTAGAAAAAGAGCCGTACATTTTAATAGAATTATCTCTGTCTGATTGTATCTTCATGTTTTATATATTGTATATCTTATTTATTAAATGTTGTTAGTTCTGTTATTAGCTTTTTGACGACTGAAACGTATGATTTAAAAAATGGTAGGCCCTAATACCTATTCAGAGTGAAAAGCAATATCAGGGCTAAAAATCAGAAATATTTTATTCTGATTTGGGTAGCAGATTGACACAGTCAATAGAAACTGAAATGATATGTAAAGAAATACACTCAAATCTATCATCAATACAATTGTTTGTAAATTAATCGTGCTATTATAAACAGGTTGAAGAAGTTTGATTCAACTGAGGATATAAAATGTTCTATGAATTACATTTATTGATTACACATTTAATTTATTAAATCTGTTTTCTGAAAAACGGGTTTTTGCATTTCTTAGTGCAGGGCTTGGACCTCTGGCATTATGATTGTTTGATCAGACTTTGTTGTTTAACGGCAAAAGCTGTCTGTGCACGAATGTGCCTGTGTTTCTGGGTGCTTTATAGAAGGCGCTGTAAGTTCTGGTGATGAATTTGATGAGAAAAATACATCATGAAAGTTCTTCCACGTTTCTTCAACAACAACTCCTACTTCTACTCCTCTTATTCCTGCTGTTGCTTCAACTAGTTGGCTGGAACATCAATATTATTACATTGCTGATCAGTATAGTCGTGTTGTGATAAGCGGGGATTTAACCTAACTTGATTTACTTTTTAATGTTTTATTGTATACCTCAAAAGTTAATATTTTATATTGAACACATTTTACTATCCCTGCGTAAGTATTTATGATATTTTATCCATCTCTAAATTTATGGATACTGGCATTGATAATATCGCTTGAAATTTAACTTACATGAAATTGAATCACTTCCATATTGTAAGCATATAGTTACACCCCCCGAACCCCCTGTTACAACCCCTGTAAGTTACCCTGTCGTGGTTTTGTTTTTGTTATGTACTTCCACTGTATACTACCAGAATTTCCTTTAACAGAAATAATGTAATACTTTAAGGACAAGTCTAGTTAGGTCCTTCAAGCGAAACCTAAACATAACAAGATTATGATATGCTTTAGTGAGATACAAGATTATGGATTAACACACCAGACTGGTGTCATGTGTCCACCATAATGTGAAAAAGTGTCCATTGCGAGTTTCTACCCTCTATTGTACTAATTATTGTTTACTTTTTGAATTTGTTGTTTCGTTTTTCGACTAATACACACTTCTAGCTCTGTGTGTCTTATTTGCTAATTTATAGCTTTGGTTGGATTTTGGTACCGATCTTGTTATGTTTCTGACCATTTTTCACCTGAAGAAGAGTATTTTGAAACATATTCCCTTCAACTTACATCACATGTATGGGTTCCGTTCTACCCTTAACTGGAGCTGATGGTGACCAAAACCTTCGGTTCTCCGCTCTGAACTTAGTCTTGACATATTTGTAGGAGGGAGAATCCCTCTTGAGTTTACAGTAAGGACAGTCACTGCCAAGCAGTATTCGAGAAAGAGGTAGCGACTTCACAACATTTATGTTTCTGGTTCTCTTAAGGGAGCTGTGTGGAATAAAATATACAGGTCAGAAAATGAATGCATCTATGTGGAAATGATATAAAACTGTATTACAGTATTTTAATAATTAATTATTAATGCCATACATGTACTTTCTGCTATGTTTTACCATTACGTTTTTGGGATACTCGATAAAGAATATTCTAAAGGTGAAATGTGACATCACTTCTACTGTCCCCTGTGAAACAGCCACAGTTTTTTACCTAGTCAAAATCTTTATCTTTCTTGAAAAACCATTACACAATAGTACGGTAAATTAGGGATAAACTTTGGCTAAAATGTTGTAAACTGTGATACTAACTAAAGTGTTGAGAATCGTGATACTGACTGAAGTGTGACCTGTCATACTGAGTGAAGTATTGTTAGAGGTGATTCTGACCAAAGTTTTGTGAGCTGTAATACTATTATAGCTAAAATGTGTTCAACAGTGCCACTAACCAGCCACTGATGCCAATGTAAGCTCCAAGTTTCAAATATGTCTCTGCCTCCGACATAGTCCCTGAGAAGCTGGACAGGACAGGAGTCACTTTACCCTCAAAGGCCTTCAGGCACTCCAGAGTTTCCTTTGCAGAGTTCCGACTTTGCAAGACTATAGGAAGTCCATATTCTGCAGCAAACTCCAAATGCATGTTTAAATAGCTGAAATATATATTCAAAAGGTTATAAGATTTAAGGACTGTTGTCTATCTTTCCACTACCAATACTGTGTTGTTATTCATATGTGTTTGAGAACATATGTTATTAGAATATTATTTGTTTAGTTTTTGTTGGTAAACATTCTGAATCTTGATTTATTGTAAAAGCTACCTACCTAATAAAGTATTTGTCTCATTAAAACTATGTTTTAATTTATCTTACGATAACACTACAAATACAGGTTTAATTGATTTACTGGTATTTGAAAAATGTAAATAAATCCATGTACAGCTTGAAAAAAGTCGGATCTGAGTGAGTTTATCATTAATTCATTAGTTAGCAAAATTTATTTATGATCCTATTTTAACTATTTACTTCACGAGCCTGGGAGCAATGACCAGGATATATTGGGAAATTTTACCGGTACCCTGAACCATGACGGGGCCCTGCCATGCGGGCCACCTTATCATAATAGTATTCATATGAGTATTAAAATACGTTTCATACTTCGAAAATTTGTTAAAACCAGTAAGAGCCCAGTAGACAAGTAGTTGTTTACAACAGCTAAACTGACACTACCGATCGATAGAAATTCTCTACTTGTCCAAGTCAAAAATTGTCTGCAGTCATGTGGGTTGCTTCAATTGTCCTCGTGGCCTGTGTGAAGGCTAGAGCGCCTAGGTCGGTATTTAGAATTGATGTGCCCCCCGGCAGGTCACACTATAGAGGCCCACTATTTAACTGAATGAACTCGACCATTTTTGTTTACAGTCAAATCAACGAATAAATCTAGGAGGCTAGGACACTAGCTAATAAGTCATTCTGTTCTTTCAATAATAGGCCTACTATTAAAGGGCTGCGGACCAGATTTGCTTGCATCGAGTAAGTTAAAAGATTTTACCTTCGGGTCTTGAGCCAAAATCAGGTCGGTTCAAAATCGGTTTGATTAGGAAAGTGTTGATTTTTAGTATAGAATATCGGTTTTTTAAACGAGCCGAGTCTGGGTAGCCTACAAGCTTAAGAGATGTGGCACAAAGTCAGAAAATCGAGAGAACATCGCGACCGCAGAACATCTGAGCGAGGATCAGGTAGGCAATTGAAATATTCACGCTTCGCAGACGTCGACAAGAACATTCGATGTCTCCCCGGCCGCAGAAGATGTTCAATATTTTGCAGCAATTTTTGGGAAAGACGATAATGATGTCCACACGACCGCGGGAGACTTTCAGGACTTTGTTCTGATAGTGGAGGACGATATTAATGTTTCCAGGAGCGTGTGAGATATTAAAGATTTTGACACAATCGCAGAAGACGATGATTACGTTTATTTTACACAGGAAATATTAGGATTCGGCAGCGGTCATCGAAGACGATCATGTTGTCCACACGACCTGTGATGTTTCCGCAGGAGATGTATGCACATGGAAGACGATGATAATATTTCCGTGGCTGATGAAAAAGGATTTTGCCGCGATCATGGAAGACGATGATGACGTCTCAATGCTTCGGGACTATGGAGATGCCATGACATGCCCATGTGCAAGCATAGGTTAAAGATTATTGGGGGATGGGGGACCTGGTAAACAAACTTGCAAGGGGGCCCTGCGGGTTATTATCGCTGCAATTCTTTCAATGAATCAAACTAGTTCAAACTATTTTGACAACATGGAAACCAAACATACTAAATTGATTAACATATTATACATTCAATGACGGAAAAGTTCACATGAAAACAATTACTCAATCTGCTTTTCCTTGGAACATGCCTCGATGCCAGCCTTTGTGAACATGAGGCCTGTCTTGCCGACGCAGGTGACGTACCGTCGATTCTTGATCAGAATGTTCTCTACATAAGGTCTGTATTTCTCTCGGGGACCCAGCAAATCCATGTACATGTGTGGGTAAGAGGGCTGCAGCCCAGTTGAAGTGAATACTCTTCCTACGAATCAAAATTTCAATCAATCGATTGTCAAAATCTTCTAAATTTATATTGAACCCTGAAGTCACGTTTGCTGAAATATCTTGATATTTGTAGAAATAAACAAATATGATGAGTTAAAAATCCATTTATAGAACAGAAAAATCTGTTATTTCAGATGAAAGGAGGTCACTTGAGTTACCGATAGCCTGAGAAATCTTTTGATGTTTCTATATTTTACAACAAGAGGATGTTTTGGTTCTGGAAAGTAAGTCATCTGTATACATAGAACGCGATAACTACAAACTGTGCGATTATAATACAGTTCCATGACAAATTACAGTATTTCCATCCATTTACGTTGTGTATGATAAATGAATTATACATGAATAAAGATCAGCTGTTTATGATTTCAGGTCATAATTTTTCAGCCATTTTATTTTTAAATAATCAAGTTAAATTTGCAATTTTTGAATAATTTGCCATACCCCAAACTTTGGGCTTACCCCATCTTATCACAGTCTTTTTAGGTCAGATAATCAGGACTCTACTGCCCGCAACATTATTTTATACAATTACTTACTTGGATGGTCATTGAACTCCCTAGCTATCTCCAGTGCTCTTCTGCAGGGTTTCAACTCGGTTGCCTGGATGATGATCTTGTCGAAGCCCCGTGCAAGAGCTCGGTTGATGACACGGTCATAGTCTGTCCAATGTAACTTATTCCCATTGTAGACACCTTCATACACAATCTCCCATAGGTTGGCGTCGAAGTCTGTCAATAGGAGTTCCTTAGTAGTCTACGAGACAAAACAAAGACCCTGCAGTAGTTGGAGCTAAAGAGAACATTGTTCCGTAGTGAGCATCCTATATAAGAGGATTAACAGTTTCAACCTAACAAAAATTACTTTATGGTAGATTCAGGTTATGTGTTAGTCTCTTTGGCTAGTGTTCTGAACTTGAGTGTGATAGGGAAAGTTTCCGTTCTTGCTTTCCTAACACTGTAGGTAAAAATGACTTTATGGGATTGCACCATCTTCTATAATAACTTAAAGGACGCTTTAAGGAGCACTCATTAAAGAATATTTTTGGCTTCTAGAGTTAAAAATTGAAGAACAAAATAAAAAAGAATATTTTGCAAAAAATTATATTGGCAGGCTATTTCTTTGTTTTCATGTAAGCATAATGTACCAATGGAACCAAAACTAGCACTTACTCTACAATGACAGTATTCCAAAGTAATAATCACATAAGCGTTTAAATTAAGTTACTGATGATTGTTATTTCAAATTTGTGTGTTCTTATGTCCCTCTCTAAATATACCATATGGTTTTAATTTCTGGGCACCCTGTCCTAAAAGATCTCCAGAAACTTTTAAAATCCACAGTCCTGAAAACTTCTCAACTCACCAACAAGCGTTTCTTGGGGACACCGAAACTGCCACGACGTTTTACGATCATGCTCCATACTGAAACTGCCACGGCAATTAGTGAGGATTATAAGGGTGTTTTTGAGAGGGCTAGAAACACTGAAACTGCCACGGCGGACTCCCCACATAGACGGGGAGAAACGGGAGACTTAAAATTCCCATTCCTGTCTTAACCTTTTAATTTCTTTCACAATAATACGTTCATTAGAAAAATAAGTGATTGATTTGCCCTTTCTTATTTATATTTTAGGAGTTATTTTTATGTCAATTTAAGTTTGTGGTGTTGCGACTGTAGTATTTACTTTATAAATATTTATTCCGTCTCTTGAGAATATATTTACTTTAATGAATAATTATTTACACTTTAATGAATAGTATTATGTTAATTTACCACTTATATAACACTGCATTTTATATGATCTGTTCGACGCTTTTAATTACACTAGAGTTGACCAAAAACTAATATAATACTGTAAAACTGTAATATTCAAAAATAGTTTTATTCGCCCAAGACGCTAGGTTGCAGAACTACAAATACTGTACTAACCTCCATGGTCTGCAGAGGGGTGTTCACGTGGAATCTCAGTGGAATGCCCTCCTATTCGCTTGACTCATGTAATATTTTTCAAATTCGGTATTTCTCAACAGTTTTGTGCCATCCTTCAGAGAGTTAGTAGTAAGGGATTTGGTGTGTTAGTTCTTAGTTGATAGTCTTTCGATGGAGGATAAGATATTTGAAACGAGGTGAAAAGGGGTGCGGCGTTGTTAGTAGACGGGTACCGTTTTGTTATTCAAAGTGTGGTGTTGATAAGTGGTTTGCTGGAGAAAAAATCGGGGAGGATGTCGAGCAAAATGCTTCACAGATTATATGTAACAATGAGTAACAGTACTGAAACTATTTTAACGCGTATATAAAAAGGTACTGTGTTTATCATGCTGCAACTCATAAAATTGTTAACAAGGGATATTGATGTATATTTTTACTTGGGGTCTCTCAGGGTGAAAAATATAAATGGCAACCATTCTTCAGTCACTGTAGTAGGTTGAGTTTAGGTAGAGACCTCTAGCTTTTGTCGATATTCTTTCATCGATATGTAAGAAACATATCGAAGAAAGAATATGTTCTTCTTTATTCTACTAATGGCCTATTAATATGAGGTGTCACTCGATGGGGTCACCAAAATAACCCGTTTTGGGTTTAAGAACAAAATTTGAATACAACAAAAAGTTCACTTGCGTGCCATAGAGACGTGTACAGAGTTTTGTTTTCTAACCCATTAAAAAGTTAACTGGTGATGTCCATACTTTTGCCCAGCCCTGTAAAATAAATATGCAAAAACATACACCGAGTCTCATTTCATTCTAATTAAACATGAGAAAATGGGAAGCAAATTCGTGTTGATTTCCCACCAGGCGTAACATCCACAATTTTCTGTGATCATAGAAACGACCGAGATTATTACTTGCGATCATGGAAACGCCTAAAAATGGAGAATCGTCGTAAGAAACTTTAACGAACATCCGTGATAGTATGTTACGATCGCGGCAAAATCCGTGATAATTTCTCGCGATCAAACGCAGAAATAACTGTGATGGTAAACTACGACCGCAATGATGATGACCGGTAATGATTTCACAATTGCGGCAACATTCGTATTCATCTCAGGCGATTACACACACCCGTAACGATTTTTCGCGATCGACGAAAAATTAATTGTCATCTTGCACTTGCGGCTCAGTGTGTGATGATTTATCGATATTGCGGCAATGTCCGTGGTCATTTCTACAGTAGTTTCTCGCAATGGCGTTTTTCGATTACGCAAAACGTGTAAACTCTGTGTTTTCGGGTGGATTTTACGGCAAATATTTGACCATTTTAATTTCCCAGTTTCTTACTAAATTAAATTACAACTCATGGACTTTTTCCTGATAGTTAAAATTCACGTGCTATTCCCGGTTTCTAGGTTGGCAGAATTAGGTGACCCTGAATTATCACTACAAGTAGCCTAGGCTAATTAAGATTTATTTTTTATCAACCGTATCTAAAATGTATACTTTATCAATTATGGAGTTTTTATCTGGTATTATTAATGTAAACCTGCACATTATTCGTCTTATGTATACAAGTATAATTGTATCTGTATATTTCTTGGCCTAGTCTTGTATTTTATTTGTATTTCGTACTAAACAAAATCTGGACAGACTCTAACTCAATTCTGTGTATTCTAGTCATCACAAAGGATCTCATACCTAAGACAATCAAACGCACAATCTCAACCATACTTAGGTTGGACAATCTCAACCTAGGACTCTAATTCCTAAGACAATTGGAACGCAGTGCGCGCAGTATTTCCAACTCATTGCTGAAATAGTAGTTTACGCAACGATTGCGTAAAGATAGTGTTAACGATACGAGTAGAAAATTTAAGGTACGAGCCTTGGCGAGTGCCTTAAAAACTTCTACGAGTGTCGTTAACATTATTTAAGCGATTTGCGTACACTACTTTACCTACGACATTGTTTTAATTACTAAAAATCACTACTCATAACTTCTAAAAGAGGTTATGTTTTCGTTTATAACCTCTCATTGCCAATGACAGTGATGCAACGAAACACACTAATTGCACCAATCAACAATTAAATTGGCCTGAACAGCTGATTAGTTGAACTTCGAATCATTAAAATTTTACTTCTACTCTCTCAATCCTTGAACCTCATTGGTCCGTTACCCGTGTTGTTATGAGTAAAACCATAGATAAAACATACTCCCTTGTGTTGGTTAGTCTATGGTAAAACTATGCTGTTATGAAAGTAAAACAATGCTGTTATGAGAAACTTTTCAATTCTAAGACCTGTACTGAAACGGCTACATTAAAAAAACGGTCGTAGGTAAAGCATGTTTTCATGGTATTCCCAGCTCATTTCTAAATACATTCCCTCCACCGCAGCCCGCAGCAAACCTGCACACTAAGTGAATTTCAATTTGTTTGATTGAATTCTTACTAAAATTGTCCATAGACAAGACATATTTATTCCCCATTTAAATAACATTAGATTTAGCAAATACCTATGGTTTACTGCTACGGCGAGGTTAAAAAAGGTTTTTTTTGCAAAATATTATTAGAATGGGATGAAATCAATAAATTCCCCAAATATGATCAACATATTTATCACAATTGTGTTTTATTTATACTTCAGGACACGTATCCTGCTGTGCTATTATTTGCATTAGATTATGTTTCTTGTTGTGCAATTTTGACAATGCCTACCTACACCTTGGTATATTTATAAACTTAAAACTTCGAATCTAATGATAAAATATGTGTTTGTCGAGTTCTTTAACGCCAGTAATTCACTATAACGGGTTAAGAGCATTCATATGATACATTTAGTAAGAAACATTTAACATTCCATTGCAATCTCAACCCTTTAGAACATATTATTTAATTATTTCTGACTTCATCGGTAGTTACAAGACTTTTTCTATTGGTACTTGATTTAAATAAGTACAAAGTTAGTATGGCCTCTTTTAAGTAGCGACATGAAAAGCATTTAACTAAGTTATGAGCAAAGTAAAGTTTTGTGTTTCAAAATCGTCACTGTGATGAGTGAGGTATATTCTCATTCCCGTTTCTCCCTGCACGTTGCCAAACCAACCTTCCCTACCTGAGGAATCCGCCGTGGCAGTTTCAGTGTTTCTACCCCTCTCAAAAACACCCTTATAATCCTCACGAATTGGCGTGGCAGTTTCAGTATGGATTATGATCATAAAACGTCGTGGCAGTTTCGGTACAGCCCGTTTCTTGTGGCAGGAGTTTCACCCTCCTAGGGTAGTCGCGTAGTGAAAATATATAGGTAGACCAAGAGCGTAGACCAGGGGCCAAAACAAACTTGTTTGTATCAAAGAGGTACCCCTATGTAAACTGTGTGGTACACCTCCATTAAGGCCCCCTCACCATGAATACCTCCATATGACACAGTATTTGATTTACCCTATCTCTAAATCCACTTTTACCACTTCATGTTTAGTAATTAAAGGATAGTCTAAGATTGTTTTATTAGATTAAGACTACTGTCCTGGTCTATATGCTATCAAGTAGGCTATTTCAAGATGTACAAACCTATGCATTCACACTGTTATTAATGCTCTGAGACAGATATTATTTTCAAAGAAATTTTAATAATTACACATCTGTGTTCAAATTAAACACTTCACAACTGTAAAAAGAGTATAATGAATGGATAGTTGATAAGCGATACTTTAGGTAAATGAATGTATTATTTTTTCTAAGTCAATGCTTACCTGTGTATCCAGTTAAAGTCATTTTTGTATTTCAATCTGAAATATTTTTAATCTTTATCTCTTTATCCCCAAACATACACCAATTAGGGAGTAGAATTTAAGATAGTGCAGCATTTGGTTGATTGAAACATCTATGTTAAATAATTAGAGCAGATAAGGAAACAAATAAGTTACGGTACATCTGTCAGAAAAATAGTTCTAATCATTTCAATGACTCTGACTAGCTTAGTTGGTGTTTAGAACTAGAATTTTAACTTAACTCTATGTCATTGATAACTAATATTACAAGAAGTCTTCTGGGAACTTCGGTACATCGCAGCCTTACTAATTGTGATTTTGCGGAGGACTATTACAATTAAATACATCATTGACCAAATTTAATATCAGTAATAAGACAATTTGAACTTTTTTTTAAACAAAAACACTCCAAACTACTATTTTAAATAAAAACAAGTGAAACATATGACTTTTAATTTCGATACCTACAAAACTAAACAGGCTTTTAGTAAAAGTATCTGTCAAAGATATACAGGGTGAGTTTTTTAAAGTGATCCAATAGCTAACTTTTTAATTACAGGACTTAGCACCTCACTTTAAATTTGAAACTTGCTCAGTTTTAAGTTTCACTCAAGAATACGATTTCAGATTTTTTCATTGTGGCCGCCATTTTCCAATATGGCTGCCAACTTTAAAATTTCTTATGGAACACCCTGTATTTTATTTTGTTTTTAGATTTTACTCTAAAAAATAAAACATTTTTGTTCTTGAAATTTTTTCAATATCTCTAATAGTTAAGGAGCTACGAGGACAAATTGTTAAGTATTAACAGTAACAACACTTAAAACTAACATTGTTTTAAAACATGCTTTAGAATTCATGCAACTTTGTATGAAAACTTTAAGTCCTCGTAGCTCCTTAACCGTTAGAGATATTGAAAAAATCTCAAGAACAAAAATGTTTTATTTTTTAGAGTAAAATCTAAAAACAAAATAATATACAGGGTGTTCCATAAGAAATTTTAAAGTTGGCAGCCATATTGGAAAATGGCGGCCACAATGAAAAAAATCTGAAATCGTATTCTTGAGTGAAACTTAAAATTGAGCAAGTTTCAAATTTAAAGTGTGGTGCTAAGTCGTGTAATTAAAAAGTTAGCTATTGGATCACTTTAAAAAACTCACCCTGTATTTAGGTCCTTAATCTCTGTTGACACAGGAGGTTGACTTTTGCGCCGAGTGTTTGTTCATTGTGTCGTCGTACCAATATGGAGCTTGCCGGTGACCGGTACCGTCGAAAAACGCTACGACAATGTGAACTTGTTAAACTCGGAATATCCATGTTGGAGACCCTTTCCCTCACTAAACAGGCTTATGGGGGGTGAATTAAGCCGTACCAGCGTTTTTGAGTGGCACAAAATGTTTGTTAAGGAAGGCCGGGAACTCGTCGAAGATGAGCACCGCGTCAGAAGCCTGACGACCGCTTGAACCGAGGCTCAGGTGGCAAAATAGAAAGAGGTTTGGACTTCAATAAGTATCGGGACTGGGAACCTCTAGAGAGCGGTAGATGGGGGGCCGACCGGTAGGGCTCGATGGAGGGGCCCCCACCAGTTGAAAAATATATGTTTTGAGTTTTTACAGCTAGGTAAAATAAGGTTGCCTAATAAAGGTTATAAGAACTCATAAGTACAAAGTAGCGTAGTCACTGCAACTGTTCGGGGTCGTTTGACTATAGCGAAGATAAAACAAACCTTACACATTTTAAATTTAAAAATTCAGTAGCTATTCCTTTGGGATATTTTTTTATATTTTCCATTATTAATCAAAGAGTTAGTTAATACAATGTCCAGTTAAACACTGGTATTTAGTGACAAAACTTTCAGCTACCAAGTAGGTTCTTCTTATTGTGTTTTAAATCAATAATAATTTCAATCACGTTACGCTACACGTTCTTAAATTCTTGGGACGAGAATAGGAACTGTGTTAAATTTTTAACAATATATTCAATAACAATAAACAAATAGATTAAAATTCTTCAGATCCAAAATCCTGCTCCCCATCGTCGTTCATCGGCTTAGGCATTCCTGAGTCAAAAGGAGGGTCATCCTGGGATCCCCCGAAGAACAAGTCCTGGGCGTTCTTGAACAGTTTATCGCAAATGTCATCTGGACTCTCTTCCTTCACAGCTGCTACCACTTCGAGGACTTGGCTGCCAAACATTAACCATCGTCATTATATGGCAAGTTCCCCGCTAAACTTAGGCCTACTTGAGTTTTATAGCATTGTACGGGGGGATAACTTACTGCCAGGGTCTGCGGGTCCCCAAGATTTTCGGGTCGATCAGGGCCAACAGTTGACTCAAGCGATCAGTTCGAACCGGAAATGATTTTCGAGTCCAGCTCTAGTAAGGCTTTAGGATAATTCATATTAGAAACGTACGAGCTGCTCGATTTTCCCACAGAGATTGCCGAGATTTTATTCTCATGATCACAGAAAGCGTATTCCGAGATTGTAAGATCTAAAATTCACGATTTAACTGCGACCGCGGGATGTGTTCACTATTTTGCCGCGATCACGGGAGACGAATTTTCTCTCCACGACGATAGAAAATGATCGGGATTTCAGAACAATTACAGGATACGTTCAAAATTTCTCTGCGATAGTGGAAGACCTTGATGACGACTCTAGGACCTCGGAAGACCTCGGCACGACCAAAGAAGACGATCACGACATAACAGGATTTCGCAAAGACGCTCACGATATCGCCTCGTAAGATCTTTACGATATCATCGTAACCGTAAAAGACATCCGCAATGTCTCTACGACCTTGAAAAGTAATTGAGAATACACTATAAACCAATATTTCATACAGATTAATATTTTGTTATAAACACTTTGCCAAACGATACAAGGTTGGCTCAACCCGATTTTGACCCTAACTTCATTTTGGCGTACCAAACATACATGACCCGAACCGAAGTAAAAAAAGGCCTTGGAAAAGTGGGCTTAAGCGCCCCCCCCCCAAAAAAAAAAACAAACTTTGAAAACTAGGGGGTTTTACAATAACTTTCACACATTATTCTTCATATTTCCGCTCAAAACATGCCTACACATACAACTTTTATTTTTTGTTATCTTCTTTGCTCCATGGGAGACTTGGCCGCCTCTGCCACTATCTGGTGGCGCGAACGCTGCCACCATTCCTTGTGGCTACGGCACAGATTAAACTCAAGAATAGCAATGGAGATGGTAAATCAAAAGAATCAAAGTCCTAAATATCATCATAGCTGTATACTTACTTGATATTGGACGGTTCGTTTCGGCCTCTCACCATGGAGTCTGGAGACCAGTGGAACTTGGCTCTGGCTGGGTATGTGGTCCGGACATACCTGTAGCCAGCGTGTAGAGGTTTCATGAGGCACCAGGGGGCGTTAGACTCGAGGATGAGTTTGTCGAGGGGTATCGACTTGACCATAGCTAGAGTTTCCTCCGTCCTTAATGAGCTTGAACCAAAATGCGACATATTGAAAGATAAATAATCGAATTGGTGGATTGTAACCATTTACTTTTAGATACTGAAGTACAAATTCCATCTAAATAAACCAGCCATTTTATATTAGAGTAGAGCATCGCTGAATGAACCCCCGCAGTGTGATACTTTCTACAAATATATTTCATATCCTGAGTTGTGTGACTGTAATAGGTAATGTGACAAACATATGATAAAGTTACACAATCAACCTGTCAATTTGGCTTGGTAAAAAATTGGTGTATTCAACAGCATCTTTTTCGTCACAATGTAAGTTATTAGCCTAAATAATGCGAAGCAAATTTTTTTACAAATCTAAATTAAATTGTATTTATTATGTATGTTTAATATTATTCAAGATAAAGGGAGTTTATCTCACACTCATCACTACATAAAATCGAAAATAATATTCTAGAAACCTATTAAATTACACGATTCATAGTACTGTTCCATTTATTTAAGGCCTGACTAAAACGCCATGCCTAATGACACCCGGATTTTCTGTTTGAAAAAAAAAACGCGTCTTCAAAAGCAGAAAGGTTGAAATTAATTGGTATACTTTATTTCATTACTGGGGTCTAAAGTGAATATTTGTGACAAACGCTCAAGATTAACTGGAACGTTCAAGGAAAAGTGCGAGGTTTGAAAACACACTTTTATGCCCGTGACATTAACTATTTATCACTGAAACGAAAATGTATGTATTACAGCTGTTTTTAGTACCTGCCTAGCTGGCCGTAATGTTCCCTTTTACATACCTAGCACAAAATATCAGCTGGGGTAGAGGACATCAACTATGTACGTGTACGTGTTAAATTTGATTGTAAACAATTGAATCAGCATAGTACGTAGGTGTAATTAAATTATCTAAAAATATAACAAATACGTCTAATAACAATTGTAATAATATACAGGGTGGTCATAAATTATAGGACACATTTTAAGATTAAATAAGTTAATAACCAAGCAACGTATAAACATGGGGATTGTTTAATTTCATATCAAATTTAAAGCAGTTTTTCTACAGTAACTACACAGAAATAATTATGAAAATCTCAGTAATATAAAAAGTGGCTATAAAAAGTTTGTAAAAATCACCTAAACTGTGAGAGTACGTTATGTTTTCTTTTCAATGACTTGTGTTGTGGCATAGTCAGCTGGGTACAAAAGACCTTTCTACACCAGCTGTGTATGACATTTGACGAATCAAACATTAAACTGGCCTCATTATCAAAATGACAAGTTTGCAAGAAAAGCCAAGTATGTTCTTTATTTTCAATAAACAGTTTCACTTACAATTACAGTTTGTGTGATTTGTACAAACTTTTGAACTTCTTTCTATAATTACTGACATTTTTATAACTACTTTTTTACAGTTACAGTATAAATCTGCTTTTAATTTGCTATTTGTTTAAACAATTTCCATGTTTCTAAGTTGCTTGGTTAATCATTGATTTAATCTTAAAATGTGTCTAATAATTTATTAGACACTCTGTATATTATTACAAGTGTTATTAGTCGTATTTGTTATATTTTCAGGTAATTTAACTACACCTACGTACTATGCTGATTCAATGGTTTACAATCAGATTTAACACATACACGTACATAGCTGATGTGCTCTACCCCAGCTGATATTTTGTTCTAGGTATGTAAAAGGAAACATACGGCCAGCTAGGCAGGTACTAAAAACATCTGTAATACATACGACATTTTCGTTTCAGTGATAAATAGTTCATGTCACGGGCATAAAAGTGTGTTTTCAAACCTTGCACTTTTCCTTGAACTTAATTGTTTGTCACAAATGTTCACTTTATACACCAGTAATGAAACAAAGCATACCCTGTATTTCCACATATACTTTTGGCTTACAATACGGTAAATACATATAAAAGATGACATGATACATCTCAGTTATGAAGAATTATATTATATTATATATTATATTGGGTCTGATGATGATTGGAGTGTCCATTCGAAATCTATCATCACTTACCATCTTTTATATGTATTTACCGTCTTGTGAGTCTACAGTTTAAGTGTATATATATTATTACAATTGAATCGAATGTATCGATATTAGTTATGGATTTCTATTATCAATTATAGTTATAGTTCGGCCGCTTAGAAAACGACCTGCGCGCTAATGCTAAACCAATGCTGGAGGAGGTCGCTTTCTAAGCGGCCGAACTATAGTTGTTGTACTGTGGATGGTTGATTATAAATCGATATTTATAGTCAGTCTTCTGCACCTTAAATTAACTTGTAAACTTAAACTTCTTGTTAAAAAAAACATTTTAAGCACCAGTGATGATGGCGTAAGATATTTCGAGACTGGGTATGCTAATGTTCCTCATTTTTTGGTATCAGCTTATAAATATATTAATTAACTTCAAGTTTTTCTTACCACCCATTGATTCCAATATAATATCCCAGGTCTAGGAACTGCTTCGCCTCGTCTTTCGTTCCGTCAAACGAATGTATCAGGCCCGAGAATTTCCCCTCGTAATTCTTGAGGATTTTCATCGTGTCCGACACAGAGTTTCTTGAGTTTATATATACTGGAATGTTCATGTTCTTTGCTTCCTCGAGCTGCATTTCAAAATACCTGTTGAAAATTAAAATATGCATCAAGTTTTAAATTTACAGATACAAAAAAAAATACACAAATTTCTACGTTATATTTAATTTTCAAGGTAAAACTAAGCTCTCTGTAATACGATAACTGACAACAGATATATTATTTTATTACTGAATGATCCAAAATAAGTTATGTAGAATTTAGAATTTCATACTCGTATATAAATTATATAAGGGGGGCCTTATATACATTACGAATCAAATGAAAAAGCAGCTCAGTGTCCGTTAAAGCTGGTGCTCCGAAAGGCAGTACACCAAAAATAATTTGAGACTAAACCAGTAATTCGAAAGAATGTATACGGCCAGTCGTAAGTTCACAACGTATTTCATCTGGAAGACGCTTCTCCGAAATCACTGCTCTAAAAATAGTGTGAGAGTGTGAAGGAGCTGGACCTTTCAGAGAAATGTCTGGGTCACTTTGAACACTATTATTTACAGAACACAGGCACATTTTCGCACACGGTAATCAGTTTGTCTGGAGTAATACTAGCAGCTTGTCTAATTCAATCTAAATAATAGTAGTGGTACATAGGGCCTACAGATATGTTGGAACCATAAATAAATAAATCCCATCGCGAGTGATATAAAGAGTGGTTACTCCCATATCTTTCCCCTACAGAACGTTACCAATCTGGAAATCCTTTTAAAAGAAATTGCTGGAATGTTACTTATCACGTCTTAAAGTGGAATAAGATTGACATCTCTGAAATATTATGGTTTTTTTCATGAATATGACAATACCAAAGATATTGCATACCTATGGTTGGATACTTTAAGAGCTACAGAATAATGAGTACTAACTTAGCTTGTGTGTCCTTGTCACAAATCTCCAGCCAGCGGTAATCCAGACCCATCTCCCCGAAGGCCAAAACTTTGTCTCGATTATTCTCTATAAGGTTCAAAAGATTCCTCATATACTCTTGGGCACCCTCTTTGTCAAATTCATGACTCCTGGCAGGAGAACATCCGACTGTCACGAACACTCTCTCTGCAAACAATAATAAGGTTATTTTCGAAACTAAAGTGTTAAATTATGTGTCAACTTAAGGCTTTTTAGGGTGGTGAGTCGGTAGCGAACTTCGGGCCCAAGGCAGCGATGTTGGGATCCTGGTACCTACCACAATTTTCAGTACTTTACGTTCCAAGCACAGGCCTCTGTGGCCCATGTGGACGGGCAAAATGCAAGGTAGAAGAGGTCACCAACATCTTAAAATAAATAATAATCTTTCACTTTGAGGTTTTTGGGGTCTTGTCTTGAGCACCTTCCTTGTCATACTCACAATTCATAGCAATAACTCAACGAATCATCTGCCTGTGACAAAAATAAGTTCACTATCTCTTGAGTCCTGACTACTGAACAAATCCCTTGCCATGTTCCCTTGAGGAGAATAGCTCACATTCACGAATAATCCGTCTGTATCGAAATTATGTTAAACTATATACTGCATTCATGAGCTATTATTGAACTTTCCTGGTAGACTCATGACTGCTAGGAGAACACCCGGTCTTCACGAAACCTACCTAAGGTGTCTCTCAAAGTTAAACACCTAAAGGGAAAACTTGCATCCAATGAGGAGGACCTTACTCCATATGCCTTCTTATTTTTTATTAAGTAGGACATCTGGAAAACGTGAAAACATTATATTTCTATTTTGTCTGGTTTTATGAAATTGTTAAAAAATTGAACTAAAATGTAATATCTTAAGTAGAGTTACCATCCGTCTTTGCAATCTCTAGAGCTTCTCTGCTGACACTAGCGTTGATTCCTGGGATAAGGATTCCATTCACACAGCGCCTCCAGGATCTAGCGAACACGCTTGTAAGGTCAGGATCGTGTTCCTTAATCCCATCGTAGACCCCCTTGTAGGTAGGGGTAGTCAGGTACGCCGCAGCATCTATCGAACATTTCAAGAATCATAAGAACCAATACCTTTTCTAAATAAGTTCCCAATCTTGTTGGTTTACTGACAAAGTAAACTGTCTGATTTTTGTCTTTTGTATATAACCGCTTTGTTAAATCGAACTGTCTTGATTAAACTGGCCACTGTCTACGTAAATTCAACGACGCGACCAGCTACCGAAGACCAAGATTCGACAAAGTTGCCAATGTGTAAAATGAGAACACCAGAACGGATTTAAAGTGTATTAAACAATATAAAAATTCATGACTAAGCCCCATATAGCCTATGTAATTTGCATGAAGATGTAAAAGTTGTCAACAAAAATTATTTATTAAAAATAAAAATCTTATATTAAATTATAAAATATTTTCCGTAGTTATAGACCACGAGTTCAGTATAACGCAACAATAGTTAAAGGAAATGAGCTGTCTTTTTTTTGTGTAAGCAAGATGGTTACAAAGTGAGCAAATAACCGATTGGTACTTGTATGAGTAATAAGTAGATCAATACAGTAACACAATAGAACAAAATAGTAGAAAGTGTCAATAATTTTAAATTAAATATAGCTGTTGTGACTAATCACTAAAATTTGTTGGGGTTGGTTGTCGAGATACTAGTCATAATTAGACATAAATTACGAGTCTGTTTTATAATTTAATTAGTAACTTTGTCTGTGTCCGTGTTTTTTATGGTGAGGGGATGGATTTGTTAATTCCTCAATCATCTAATGTGTCTATAATATTTTAGATTTGTTTATATATATCATCTAGGGTGATAATTAGTACTGTCAGTAGTGCCAGGTCTATTTTATGGTAAAAGATAAAATATAGTTTGATACTTTCAAATAGGTATCTGATTTACTTTCAAAACGTGTTCAAATATAGTCTTTGTCAAATACTTGCACTTGAGATTGTTGATATTTTTAAGACATGGATGACTTCTGTTAATCTGGGCGGATTTTAAAACAATCAAGTGTATAGTGTTCTCTGTTACTTTTCATGTCATTTTCTTAATTCACATTAAGTAGTGTTAGTATAAAAAATAACCGAGACGACAATTATCCTTATGTCCTGAAAACAACAAAAATGACATTTTTGATATTCAAATGGTTATTTTACTGTATTTAAGACAAAACTGATTGCTCAGAAATTTACATGGAACTATACATAAAATAATCCTTCCTTTGAATTTTCAATTAAGAAACCTCCATGGGCTTAGTATTGGTTTCCGGGGAGGTTTTTTGCTACATAAACTGAATATTTTGTGGATAAGTAAATGAATTATCAAACAAACTTCATAAGTCGTCTCTAAATCTAAAGCTTTCATTGATGCAAACTATAACAAATCTGCACATGAATAGCTAAATACACAACGACTGTAATTGTAAAAAAATGTTCAATTTACTGAAATATCCTACTGTTTAACATCCTTACGGTCTAGATAGGGTTTTGAAAGCAGCTTATTTCCACACGTGAGTTCGAAATAGAAAAAGTCTCGTGCAATCAGAAAATAAAACTAGTTTCGTTGTAAAAGTCTAAGAACTTCTCTAAAAAAATGTATGGAATCACGCTGTAGTGAAATTGGTACTGTACCATTTAAGGTTAACTCACCGAAAAATCGTCTTCTTTTATTTTCAGATTCCATTTTTCATCGGTACCCTAAAATAAAAATACTTTGTAAGCTTAAAAGCTACAACCGAATAGTTGAGATTGCAGTGTGGGGTACATTAGATAACATATCATATGATGGATGGTATTGAGATAACTGTAGCATAACTTCAATATGTTGTCACCTTTAATGGCTTTCGTCTAAAATTAAAGTTAAATAAAAATATCAAATAAATTTCAACATTGACCGGTTTAGCGAAAGAGTTCATACGGGTTGTACGCGTTGAATAATTTACTGAAAACATATTACCGTAATAATTTGTTGATTTTTTATTTCAAAGACGATATAAACTTAGGATTAAAACTAGTGTGCAGTTTTGTCCCTACTTAAAACACTACTATTTAAAACATACTCCTCGCACCCGAACGAAATATTGTTATTAACCAAAACCGTGAGCATTTATCCAATTAATTAAATAATTTTCTATCTAGTGTTCTAATTCTAAATGCTGCATTTCATTCAACCTAGCAAGTCTTGAACAGTAATCGAACTACACACACACACAGACACACACAGTCACTCACGGACATTTCCACCATAAACTCAAACTCTAACAGTTTGACAAAAAAATATTTCCCCATAACTAAGTATGGACGGAGAAAGTAAAAACCAACTGATATGAACAATTATTTCACAGTATGTAATCACTTAACTGCAATGATTCAATTAGTCAATCATCAAATGAATTGTTTTATAGTAATAAATCAAATTGGGATATTACATTATGTGCTATTGTACGGTATTGAGATAGATAATGTGGCTTTAAGGGTTCTCGTAAGTGGAATTATGCGGTTTTAAGAGCTATTGCGAGAATGTGTTCAATAGATATATTACGCGTTTTCATTGTAACCTTTTTTACTATAACATATACACTAAAATAGCATATATTTATTCTATATTATGTGTGAAGTAAAGCTGGCGAGTTCATCATCGTGGGTCCAGTGAACCTACTAAAACTAGACTGAGGGCGAATGTCGCTGAAGGTCTAAATCCCGGAAGGTCAAATTAGACCTTCGGTACACATTTTGCATTTTGTACTTGTTGCTGAGGGTCTAATCTGGCAGTATGTCGAAGGTCTAAATCCCGGAAGGTTTAAAAGTACAGTAAATGCAGAAAACTCGTCGACTGATTTTAGAATATTTTAGAATATAGACATATTTTAGACCTTGCGGGATTTAGAACTTGGACACACAATCTATATTTTGTAAATAAATGTTTATAAAATGAGAGTTGCCGAGGGTCTAAATCCCGGGAGGTCTAATTAGACCTTCGGTACAGTTGAATATTAGACCTTCCGCTACTAATGCAAATGCAAACTGTAGCCTATGCCGAAGATAAAAAAATACGGTCATTGCGTTGCCAGTGTTGAAGGCTATACACGCAGTCAATAATGCAACAACTTGTAATCATTCTCAGAGAGAGTTTTAGTAACTTTCACGTCTATTATTTTGCTTGCTCGTTATTAAGAGTACGATGGAGATAATAAAACTAAAATTATCTTCATTTGTATCATGTTCAAAACGTACAATATGTAGTATCTGCTTACAAATACTATTTACAAATACCTACCCTAAACAAAAAATAAAGAAATAACTACCTATTATACAGCAGCTATTATAAAATTGAGGTAGTGTCTGTCTGTCTGTTTTTCTATCTGTCTGGGTAGTTGCCACAACTAAAATACTAAATGTTTTGTTATAATATCTTTATAAAAAACTGAAAAATGAAATTAAAAGCGCTTTTATTTACAAATTAAGTGTACAATTCAATTTACTAGCACTCCATAAAATGTTCGGTTAATTCGGTTCAATACATTGTTTGTTCATAAAAAATATAGCATATTTTCTCTAATAAGTTGCAAAGTAAAGAAAGAATATGGATAAGTTATTGATTTTTAGTATAACCATCTATTAATATTATCTTGGTTCTGAAATTGAGGTATGTAATTCAATATACAGATCTATAACAGATAAATATCTAGATAAATAACAGTGCTATCTGACATTCTCGTGTATTGTTGAGTTGAAACAAATATTGTTAGAGTACGATTTCAAATTAGTTAACTTTTTACCAGTTTAAATTAAAGCTATATATTCCGATTCTATAAATATAACATGAGTATTGAAATCAGTATATCAATGTAGTAAATATAATTTTAAACCTTTTATTTTCTTAATAGCACAATTGAAATACCGTTCATATTGAACTGTATGATTTAACTACTGCAAGACTACAGATTACGACTATTGTTAGGTTTGCTTAGGCTGACTTGAATTTAAAGACGAGCATAAAAAATAATGGAAATAACCGTGCAATTCATTAGGCTATATAAATTATTTAAAATGTAAGTTTTTTCCAAAATCCTATGGTGAGATATACTAAGATTCTAGAATGGCATACGTACTCGTAACTCGTATATGCTACTAAAATGAATATTAGTGTTTCAATGCGTACTATGTAATTATTTTATGTTGCGGAACCAAAAGTTTTAGGTAAATTTCGAAATTATAGAAAAATAAAAAGAAACAGAAAAAGAGATTTTTTGTTACTTTTGCGTATCAATTGAACCTCGCAGACAAGTTTTGTATACTTAATAAGGCAAATCATTGGTAATCTCCAATAAAAATCTTTTTGCTGAATATGAGTGCTACCTCATAACTACAAACTATACAGTGGTGAATAAAAATATCCATCTGCTTCATAAATATAACAATGATTTCAATATAATAAATTGAAAGGGTACTTTACTTCCGTTGGTTAACATACAATTTGCCGAATTATTACAAAAATTTGTTTGAACCGAGTTTCAGAGTGGTTAGAGTATTGAAATTAAAGTCCGAAGGTAGCTCGGACCGAAGGTAGTTCGATCCTTGTGTTTAACTCTTTGCCTAGGTGTAATTTGTAATATTTTGATCTATGAAGTTTTCCTACAATACGAGTAAACACTAGTTTTTCAACAATCTCATTTGCAATTCGATAGCTACAAGCCAACATTGAAATCGTCACAGAAGGTACAAAAAAAAATAATAACAACAAAATACTCTTCAACGTTACTACGTATGTGATTTTTGGCTAAAAATAAATAGTCACAAAATCACTATTTTATAGCAAGTTATTGCAATGCAAGATTCAATACATCATAAATAATTTATTCCAAATAAAAAACTGATTACAATGCAGCAAACCTGCAGAAAGGTGTGGATTTAATCCACGATTTTTGTTATGGTAATTAACCAGTATAAGAAAACCACTTTTTTATTTTAAGTCACTGACACAAACTATTTTAACAATCGGCTACAAAAAGCAGACTATCGGTTAGTTTATCTATTGCTCTGTCAGTAAGCTACGATTGTCCCGGGTGATATGTTTACCACTATGTTCAGAGAAGTTGATCTGTATCTGTTAAAAAATGTGCTGAATACTTAGAAGTTAAAACATTTAAAACAAAAGTCAAAACCACTCCCTAATGGTTCTCAGGGTCTCAACAGGTGCCGAAGTTTCCAAAAGCTATGGAATACAAAGTTACAGGGTTAACTGGTATGTTTATACAATTATTTACATTTATTTTGAAGTTTGAGTTAATTAAATATATTAAGCATATTTAATACTTTTTAAGCAAGAGGTCTGATGACTACCAATGTGAAATAGTTTTATTTTTCATTTTTCTAGACACAGTGAAATTTACTTACGTACACCGAGGACGATAAAAATACAAACTTTATGTTAGATAACAATTAACAAGTAAAACATGAAATTTATTTAAAGGCAAAGGAATTTATTTCTTAGTTATATTCTTAAATAATCGTGTTACAACCCTTATTAAAATAATACATATTTGTAGACTTATCGGAAATACTATTAAAACCTAATCAAACTTCTTAAACTATCTTGTGTCAAAATAATTATGCAACGTGTTTTATAGAATCAAATGCTTAAAATAAAAATTCAATAGTTTATAGTTTATTCTGAAATAACCTTCCGAAATAATAACTGAACCTTTGGTGTTGGCTGCTCACGAAGTATTTATGGAACAGTATATAAAATATATGGATATTGAAATTGTACTGGAATTTATTTATTTATTTTATCTCCAATTATAAGACAGCTAGATATGACCAGATCTAGCCAAATAAATTATTGAATGATTGAATGTAACTAAAGATTACTAGGGGATAATAACTACCTAATTAAGTTGAGACATTTCTCCTTCAAAAGGCACGGTGTGATAAGTGCCGCATAAGCGACGAACGTTTTTACATACGATTATATTATGTTCCTTGACTATAAGGTAAAACGTGGCAAAATTATTTTATTTTAAAATGTTGTGCTCAAAAATAAATCTATCAACAAACTGACACATACTTTCTCCCATTACCTTGTCTACAGCCCTTATTGGATTAGCTGTGAAAATAACTATTTTATGGGGAAATCACAATAATTGCAAGGACTAAAAACTAATCGAATCCTTGCTATAATGGAAGACACTAATAAAGAATTATGGATCAATAGCATGGTCAAAACGTCAAATGGATTGTGAATTGAATAATGCCAGATATTAAAATATAAAATAAATTAGCTGGTCCGATTACTCAAAGGGGTTTTTCGGGTTTTCTATTGCGTACCTGGATCTACATAGCTTCAAATAGCGTTAATCATGAGTAAATAATAATTGAACTTGTTTATTCCAAATTATTTCTATATATCGTTTATTTACATCACTTTGCTTTAGACACGTCCGCTTCTCTGTGGGATGATGAATTCAACGGAATATCTAACGGTGAGGTAGTTGGGAAAACAGATATTAGATACGTCTTGTCCAGAGCATGGGATAGCGGGCTTGAAAAAATCTTCATCACAGGCAAAGATTTCAAGTCTAGCAAGAGATCACTTGAAATCGCTAAAACAGACAGTGAGTATAGTAAACATACAGTATGTGTGTAAATTAAGTCTTGAAACAAATCTGTATTATTTAAACCGAAATAGATAGAAATATTCTGTTTGTGGAATTAATTGTTAACATAGGTTCCGCAATTTTTTATATCAACATGTAAAAAATTGCGGAACTTTTGTTAACGATTATTTCCACAAACAGAATACTTCTATCTATTGCGGTTTAAAAAATACAGATTTGTAAAAACAATATTTAATACGATTTATCTATCTATGTACCTGCTTCTAAGTTTATTAGTAACCGATACTTTTGACTTTTAGGACGACTGTACTGCACAGTAGGATGCCATCCATCTCAATACCCCACCTGGACCAAAAAGAGAAAGAAATACCCTGACCGCATAGCTGAATTGATAGATCACTGCAAGAAGAAGTGTGTGGCAGTTGGCAACTTCGGTCTTGACTATACGGACGAGGGGCTAGAAAGATGTATCAAAAAGGACCAACTCGAGTAAAGTAGTAGGCTACTGTACTAGAATTTAAACCCTAAGCTAACTTACTGGTTGATGGTCAGCTTTGGTTTAATTTTGTCTAAAAGTTTACTGCCTGTGTTTAATTTTATTATCTATATCTTAGACCGTGTATTATAAAGGGAGTTCAACTCAATCATGCGACTATTGGGATATCGGAAACGGTAAGAATTAGAAAAAACTTTAAATGGGGGACATTCCTTTATTTTTGTGGCGGTTAAAAATAAAAATTTAGTTTTTCGAAATTCAGCCGCCATTTTCCAATATGGTGGCCAACTCTGAAATGTCTTATGGAACACCCTATATTTTATCATGTTTTAGGATAGTACATGCAATTTAGAAACTTGTCTATTCTTGACATTTTTTCCATAAACCCACTCGTTTAGGAGTTAAAGACTATGAAAAAATGACTTCCGGTGTACATTTTGCATCATGTAGCTAAACGAGTAGGTTTGAAGCGAAAATGCGATGAGTAATACGGTAAGTCTTAAAATTGCATCTACATTCCAAAAAGATCACAAAATACACAGTTTTTCCACTTTTCAAGTTGCCATTTTGGAAAATGGCCGCCATTTGTGAAATAATGGAATCAATATTGTTTACGTATTTTATGGTTACTTAGATTATGGTTATGTATTTTATGGTAGGAACCAAAGTCTATGTTTCATCTGGTTCTCATAAATTAAATGTCTACTTGCAGTACCCAAACTTAATGGTATCTTTGGTTCACATTAATGGAATTCCTATTTGCGGTACCTATTCAAAGTCTGCATTGGGGTGCACGCACCGGACCCGAACGCGCGCCGGTTCGGTAGCGGGCGATATTCGCGCGGTGATTAGTACAATGGAAGTAAATGCAAGCGGCCACACCGGAGCGGTACGAGCGGTAGCGGTATACCGCCCGAACCACCGCACCGCCAAGATGCAGCATGTTGAATTTCATCGCCCAGTGGTGACAGCGGTGCCTGTGCGACGAGTAATTTTGTGTCCAGAACTCCAAACAACTGAGATTCTGATCTTAAATGTGTATTTGTACCCAATTGTCATTCTGCAATATATGTAGAAATTTCTTGTCTTTTCTCAGTTCAGGCATTATGGTATTCACCATGTTTAAATCGTCTTTTGTTGATGTTATGTATCCACACCCTATCTTTGCGTCATCTTCAGTTACAGCAACCAATAGCAACATTTCTTCCTCCTCGTCTGTCATATTTCTAACTAACAACACACCACACTTGTTGGCTGCATACTCATATATGACGGACGACGAAAAAATACTTAAGACTGCTGTCACCGCAGCGGTGAGGAATCGCTCCGGTGTGAACGCCCCAGCGATAACGCCGCGGTGGTGATGGTTGGTGGATGGAGGAGATGAAAAACGCGCAAATACCGCCACCGCTCCGGTGTGTGCAGGCCTTAAATGGTACGTCTAGTTCACGTAAACGGAAAGTCTATTTGCAGTGTCCAAATTTCGTACAGATGCTTCCGGTTTCAGCCGTTCCGGAGAAGTATTTGTAAAACAAAAGCAGGAGTGTAGTAAGGGCTCGCTCCGCTCAATAATAACAAAGATGTTGGACACAACAAAACACATTGCAACACGATAGCTTACATTGTATTCGACTTATGATCAATTAAGTGAAATATTGCGATTTCTAGGTTTGGAGGGGGGTGTGGGAGAAAGCTCAAGGGGTAAGGTAGAAGAGTGGGGACTGTTAGGAAAATACACCTCTCACAAGGTTCTATCACATATAAAAAATTCAGCTTTTACCATTTAGTTGGATAAAAAACCTTTATTGATCTATGACGCCTAAATAAATAGATTAGATTGTATTAGGCATCAAAGTTGGTTAGTTTTTTGGACACCCTGTATAAGTAAGTTAAGTCAGTTTAAGCTTTGTTTTTACATATGTATGTCTTCTTGTCTCCCCTCTTGTCAAGTTACCAATCTACCTGACACCATAAGTAGGCTACTTGTCTCACTCATTACTCAATAGTTTTTTAATTTCATTTACAAAAAAAATACAAGGTGTGTGCTTTTACTTTTACAATTACTTCTTACATATTGTTCACACAGCATAAACAACACAAGTTAACAATGGCATGAAACGGTTTTACGGTAGCTAGTGGCAGTTTTCAAGCTGCTGAATTTGACAAAGAAATTTCAGTGCCTAAAACTGTGTCCAAACGAAGCCAGTTGGCGGGGAGGCTACCTAACTCAGGTAACTTGAAATACTTTAGAGGCAGGTAACCTACCCATAACCTGCCTGCTCTACAACTTGCCTTGTCTAAACACGGCTTTAAAGACTTGCGTGGAATCCACAACTCCGCAGCTGTAATCAGCAGCTAGGAAAACCAGCCTTTAGCAATGCTGTAAAATCTATTTGCAGATCAAAACTAAAATATTTACAAACTCTCCTAGATCCAACTTGTCATTATTTCTTTCGCTCAACTTGAACCCCGGAGTCTGCGCGGTCCTGTATCACTGCAATGGGAGAGAGTTTAAACAGAATCAGACAGGAATACAAGAAGAATCTACAAGGTTCACTGAGCTCTGGGCTAAAGATGTTTCTATTTGCAGGATCTTCGACTGGCATGTTCAGTTTGGACATTTCCTCCGGAAACCTATGCAGTTCCACTTTCAAGGTGACGCGTTTGACGACATGATGAACCTTCTGAGCAACTCCAGAGACCGAGGGGCTCTGAAGGGTGTCTGCCATTCCTTTCAAGGGTCGCCCGCCCAAGCCCGCGAACTTACCAGGAAAGGGTTCTACATCGGGTTTGACGGCTGGTAATACAGGTCAAATTTCAAACAGTTGACATTTTTTGCACAGTTTTATATGAGTTAATGTGTAAATCCATTAGTGTAGTCAAATTATGTATGTGCTAAACCTATTATAGGCTTATGTGGGGTGTGTTGTTTGCCTCATGGTTAGCGTCTCGGAATTTAATGGGAGGGGGGGGGTTGAACTTTGGCATAATCACAGATATATAAGGTTTTGGACCTCTTTTCTTAAAAACATATACGATTGTTTCACTGAAACTTCAACTGGCATAGACACTTTTGCCATGTTGTATGTTTGTGCACAACAGCAGTGACAGCAAAAACAATAGAAAATTTAGTATAGACAAAATAGGGTGGCTAGTGTGGTGAATGGGAATTTACGGATAGAGCGGGGCTACGGAATTCCTATATAGTAACTAAACTAAGTAAAGCTTTCTAATCACAAAATTTTAATATTTTTACCTCACTGATTCCTCATTATCTGAAACTACAAATTTAAGGACACGTTAATGCTTTAGGTCTTTAAATAATTGTTTCGGAGAGGGCAGGGATAACTATACTGTTGTATACTACACATGGATACTGAGCCTATATATATGTGGATGTTTGGTTTCTTTATCTTTTATTGAATCTACAACAAAATGATAGCATTCACACTCTCTTAGAAGAAGACACTCGTTCGGTGTTAAACGAGTTTTGCACCAATGTTGCTAATAGTTACAACACCTAACATTTCATGTGGAGCAGGGACAGGTCCTGTTTCAGCCACGAGACTAAGGGGTAAGACAATGCGTTATTTAGAGCAATGGTTCTCAACCTGGCTTACTTGGCTGATATATGAGCTTATTATGGTGGGAGTGGGCTGGGGCCGTGAGAAATGCCAGGATTCTAAGTGTAGAGTAAAAAATTGGTGAGAACACCTTATTAAGAGAAAAATTGTGTCTTAAAAGTATCACCAGGTGGTTTGTTTCAACTGCACAACCTAAATGAATCAGAGATCATTTTTGGATTATTTAGATGTGTTTGGACTTGTAACAAAAGTTTAATATCTTGAAATTGTTTGGTATTACAATTTTCACTATATTTAAAAGAACTGACACTTAGCCATGCCACTTTGCCACATATGCAATTTGAACTACGTTATGTTGGTAACTGTTGCGATACACGTCGCTAAAACTTTAATAAATTGTTTTCCTTTGTCAACAGTTCGCTGAAAGAAAAACAGCATTTAGAAGTAGCAAAAAGTGTTCCCCTTAATCGTTTATTGCTTGGTACGAGCTCCCCTCGTTGCAGCGTCCAACGCCCTCACGCTGGAATGAAGCTCTTGACAACTGGTTTCTTCTCAAAAAGTAATCGCCTCAGTCAAGATATGGTAGTTGGGAGAACTGAACCATCACATATGTGGTAAGGTCATAATATATTAAACATGTCTTCATACCACTCTAAGCACAGGGTCTCTTCTGCATTAAATGGGGAGAAAGATTTTCAAACCAGCAGCTCATAGACTTTTGTAGGGGGAGGGTGTAATTATTAGTAGAATGCTGGATAAAAGTAGATAATCTTAATGAAGAATGGCAGCACTGTTATGGGATGGGAGCGCGTCAAGATGCCACAAAAAAGAAGAAGTTTGAGGTAGAGGGATCCGTGGTGGCTCCTTGTCGGAGTGGCACCTAGAAGAGCGTGCAATACAACCAGCAATCTCGGATATATGTGTGGTGGCAGGTTGTCATGGTGGCGCCTAGACAGGAGTATACACGACATCTCACCACCTCGGATTAAAGTGTGGTGGCAGGTTGTCATGGTGGCGCCTAGACGGAAGTATACAGGAAATCCCACCACCTCGGATAAAAGTGTGGTGGCAGGTTGTCATGGTGCCGCCTAGACAGGAGTATACACGACATCCCACCACCTCGGATAAAAGTGTGGTGGCAGGTTGTCATGGTGCCGCCTAGACGGGAGTATACACGACATCCCACCACCTCGGATAAAAGTGTGGTGGCAGGTTGTCATGGTGGCACCTAGACGGGAGTATACACGACATCCCACCACCTCGGATAAAAGTGTGGTGGCGGGTTGTCATGGTGGCACCTAGACAGGAGTATACACGACATCCCACCACCTCGGATAAAAGTGTGGTGGCGGGTTGTCATGGTGGCGCCTAGACAGGAGTATACACGACATCCCACCACCTCGGATAAAAGTGTGGTGGCAGGTTGGTGACTCTTTGGGACCATTTCTGTATCCCCTGAATTAAATGAAACACCTTTTATGGGAAAAATCTGGAATGGTAAGATTCTTAATTATAAGACACAATCAATAGTTATGTGTGTTTTGCTACAATACAACTTTCTGAATGCAATTCATACATAACAAGAAATAGTACTTTATGACATCATGCAAACAAAACACGTATGCCTAACTCTCTCCTGGCCACCACTGTTGCACCATTGACATACACAAATTTTCATTGCGTACATATGATCAATGGTTGCACTCACAACCATAGTGACGATTGCGCACTACTTGATACTATTGATTATGTATATACACAACAAAACTGTGAAGAATGGAGCATTACTGACTAAACCATATGAATTTGTATGAAATGCTACCAAATGTCCGTCTGGATAAAACGGTGTCTATATTAATGCAGTCCGGATTCATAAGGTTTTACTTACTCTTTGAATGCAAAGCAAATAATATAATCCTTATTCAAGGTTCTATAAAATCTACTTTGCTTGTCAATATAATTGCGATATTTATTTCTTTAGTTGGAGTTAAGGCTTAAAAGTCTCATATAGGAAGGTATCTATCATTATAAAATAATCTGAAGTCAAGATCTTTAACACTCCTGGTTAAAACTTTATCAACATACAATTGTACTTGCCTTAAGTGTTCATTTAGTGTAATTACTTTATTGACTTTACTAAGCATAACATTTAATTAATAAAATTGCTAGATCACCTTTTTTGTTGAACATGGAAAAAATGTTCAGTATGAAGAATAGGTGTCATAATTTTCTTCATAGACCAAGTGCATAACATTACCATTATATTACGCTAATTTATTTTGTTGCAGCCATTTGTTGGAGATAGTTGCCCGAGCCCGATCCATGGAACTGCAAGAGTTAGCGGACATAATCCAGATGAACGTGAAAAAATTATTTTTCAAGAAAACTTACCAGAAAAGCTGTGAATGTGAAAGAGTGCATTAATTTGTCATTGTTTTTATCCTTAAAGTATATCATGTAAGAGGGTTTTTAGAAACAAAGATTTTTTGTAGCTGGGGTTTGCATTCCTAAATTACCTACTATACTTGTTTGCATTATTAATGATACATTGGTTCCTGCACTATTTTACATGTTTAGGTACATATTTAACAAACCTTTTAGGTTATTTAACCTAATGGCCGAGTCCCGAGAAGGCCAGTTGAGATGATGTGTACCTATAGACAGTATGTAATATGTAGGCTTACTCTTCATCACAGATCTAAATGAAAAAGGTTCAAGGATGCACACATATAGTTTAAACAGAGGAAGCAATAAACTATTATTGACAGTAACAAAACATTTATTAACGATATACCAAATTGCCTTTACCTTTGGTACAAATACTATCATGATAATCAGTACTGAGTCTACAAAAATATGAAACTCACAGACATTAATGAACAGTTAAAAGAATAAACAAGTTAAAAGCATATTTCTTTACTCTAAAGACACCTGCAGGATATCACAGAAACTTTAAGATTGATATAGATTTCACCCAAAACCTAGATAAATCGTACTATAGCCTATATATTATACTGTTATTTACATCCAGAAATGTTAAACATAGACTAATGCTGGATGGATTTCAATAGGTGAAGCAAAGTAGCTCGGTTTTGGAAATTTCCAATACAAAATTCGTAGAATAAATATGGGTAAACAAGAAAGGTTCTCTTAACAAAGAAATTTGTTGGTTTCTATGAAAATAAAATATATATTTTGGAGTGGTTACTTCTATGTATGATTATAAATGGGTAACAGCACCAAATTACTGTTTTTACTTTACTCCTAAATAACTTCTTTATCAGCATTGTATGTGTTATTCAATTCACAAAAAGTCAATAAAAATATGTCTTATAACAGTCATTTGCCTACTGGGTCTGATGATGAATAGTGTCTAATTAAAATGATCACCACTTCCCTTTTTTATATGTATTTTTAAAATATTTCTTGTGAGTTAACAGTATAAGTGTAAATATATTATGTTTCAAACATGCTATTAGACATATTTTTATTTACTTTTCACGCTTCACTCCTCACCTATTCACTCTATTATAAAAAATTACCGATAAAATATAACCATTTTAGGTTTATAAATTCGGCTCTTTAAAACTTAAAACTTTAAAGTTAAATCAGAGGTAGGTCTAAAAATTTCCAGAAACAAACTTAACCTCTCATATCTTAACAACAACAAATATACCTAACAAAGATGAAACATATAATCTTCAAAAAATTAAATCTAAAGAAACAAAAGAAAGGAATGATTGTGCTAGAATATGAGTTCAGCAGTTTACAGTTTAGCTCGGAGTTCTTCAATTCTGCCAGCTGCCCTCTTCTGCAGTTCTGTGAGCTTTAGGGCTAAACCCATGTTACCCTGTATCTTGATCTTTCCTTGGAAAAATGCCTTTTGAGGATTCAGCTTGCCAGAGATCAAGTCGGTCACATCTTCGTCATTCATGATAAATGTGACATCAGGCTTATCTAAAACGGGAGGAATATGTTAAATTTAACAATTTTCAACCAAACAAAACATGTGCTAGTCGATCAAGTTGTCTACAAAAAATTTAATTTTTATGGCAGTATTCATAAATGTTATCTGCAGAAACTAAAATAAAATTGTTTTTTTTTGCTGGTGGTATTATTAAAAATATAGTAAACTTCAAATTAAAAATTACTTTCTATGTTTACAAATACAAAAAAATTACAATTAATTTATCGTCTTCCTAAATTGGGTATACAATGAAATGAACTGTGGAATATATGTATAAACATAAAGTCAAACAAATTTGGAGGTTCAAAGCGGAAAATACTGAGCAATTTAGTGGCAGCACTAAGATTCAAACAATCATTGCTGCCTTCATTTTATTTATTCACATTTATTCATCACTCTACACTGATTCATCAGATTATTAACACTTCTAATGAAGCAATGAATCCTCACAACCTCTTTTGATATCTCACCTTTTCCGTTGTACTCCACTTTTCCCTTGCCGATTTTAGCGTTGATGATCCACATTCCTTCTTTCCCAGCAGTATTCTTGACTTTGAAACAATAGATTCCTCTGACTTTCTCGATCATGTTTTCTTTATCTTCCTGCATAGCTTCTTCGAGAACTTTGAACAAAGCAGTTGCCTTGAAGACTGATGGGTCGTCTGTTATACTCACGGGGTTCAGTGTCACTCTTGTGTTATACCTGAAACAGGAATCGGAGTTGTATAACTTTCATTATACATTCTCATTCACAGTACATACAATACAAACACATGGGCATCACAAACCTTTTTGTCAGCAAGCAGGGTGAGCAAAGATTTAAGAACAGATTTAAAAAGTGTTGAGGTTGCTTAGGGATCTGTATAGAGAAGATACACATAAGTATATTAAAATTTGTTTTGTCTTCAATCACTTTGATGAGCCAGTAATACAAATTGTTTCCTGAGCACATATAAAAAATAAATATATAAAAAATTCTGGATAAGGAAATTGAGCATATTGAGTTCTCTTTGCAGCCAGAGGCCTAACATGCCTTTAAATGATCTGTAAGCAGTTTAACAGGAATTTTGCATAAATGCATAACCTATAGTATTTTCTATTTGTAGGCGTGCTGTGTTCTTACAACTGACGTCATTATTACTGTATATGATTCATAGGAAGTGAAACTTGAGGGAGTAGATGTGACGGGCTTTTAGTAATACAATATGCATTTACAGTACAACACAGTTTCATGTCAAAAGTTGTTGTGACGGAGTATAATATGCTGTATAGTATCGGAATGTGCCTGTGACAGTAGTCAATGTGCCGTTTGTTCAGTAGCCAAATAGCTCAGTAAGACTGACTGTAGGAGATTTGGATAAGCAAACTGTTAGTTTTGTTTTTTTTCTTGCCTTTTAATTAAAATTATATAGTCATCCTTATAAACTTGTCAATTAACAAATAAAGATCTTCCCAATGTGCAACAGTCGAGGATGCATCTATGATATGTTTTATTATTTTAAAATTTGTTTTGTAAAGGTTAATTCAATTGACATTGTTGGTTTGGGCAACTTTAGATCAATAAATCAGCTAATATTTGGCCCATTGGGCAAGTGAATTGTTACCATCTGTAGTTTGGAAAGCCTAGTTCATAAAGAGCGACGACAACAGCTCCACCCAACCCGATGTTGTGTTGCAGTGCGAGACGAGCGTTGGCTACCTGACGTCGCCCTGCCTCCCTTCTCAGTTGCCAACACAGTTCAGCGCACTGTGCCAGTCCTATCACAGACAACAGAGATAGATGTAAACATGACAATTTTTAAAGAGACAAATGCATACAATAATGTCAATTTGTATTCGTCCTTTTATTGTCCTTAGGAAAAGGTAATTGTTTCATAGTTTTTCATTATCATAAACTAAACAAAACTGACAGGGCCGTCCCTAGGTTTGGCGGCACCCAGGGCAAATGTGGTCGCCCCCCCTTTCCAGTAATAGTCACATGATCCCATATGTTGCCACCAATACTTAAACAACATACCTTAAGGATAATTACATATATAAAAGTTTAATTTATATAATGATATATATTTGATTCCAAGATTGTACAAAATTAATACAACCAAATTGATCCGAATGTATTGCAATAGAAAAATTAAAATAATTACAAATAGGTTATCTTAGGGACACAGGGTGCACGAGTTAAGCAGTTTAATATCAAGCAAGATAACCTTTATTATCATTTAACAAGGTGTACGGTACGAAAAACGACTAGGCCGACCTTTATTGTAAAATGAAAATTTAGCTCAGACCTTAAGCGTAGCCTAAAATTTACGTATTTAGTTAATATCAGGTACATAATATATGCCTGCCTACAGCACTTTATTGCAATTTTATAATTATATTCAACGGTAAAAACTTACAATATGGGGAAATTGAAATTAAAGTTCATAACAATCACACACAACTAACACATGGACACCTCACAACTCTCACTCTATCAATGTATTACTCTTACTGTCACTGTCACTAACTGACTAATCACACACTAGGCCTACCGCCTTACTCCCGAGTACCGACATTCAAGTCTCGACAAGAATGACAGTGACAAGACGATTGGATTGGATTCACGTGCAGCTTGCTTTCCAGTAGTACCAACCCTACACTATCATTATTTCATACTTCATACTATATTACATTTACATTTAATTATACTTATATAGAGTTTGTAATAATTCTCCCAGATTCATATTTATTAGCGCCATGTCCTCCTGAGTGGCAGTTCTCTTCTTGAAAGACCTAAAAATGTTTTAACATTTTTTTCTTCATTTTCCCAACAGGGGGAAAAAATTAATTGATGCAACTGCACAGGCGAGAAAATGATAATAATATAAAAGAAGGATGGAAGACTTGGTTAATATAACGCTCATGATGACATAATTGCTCTACTAATAAGTATACACAATAAAAGTACAAGAATCAATTGTAATTGTAAGTGTGATAAAATATACTTTACTTAAGGTTCCTTGATCATTACCAGTTGTGAATGATCATTGGACTTGTAAAAAATGGCCCTGGCTAAGAAATAGTTGGCCTTAAGTAACAAAGCAACACATATCATCTTAGGCCTACTCCGTCCTTCCTTAATATTCAGTTTAATATATGCACTAAAGTCTGCATTGCTGTCTTAAAGATTTAAATAGCATGTTTAACTGTATGTAATACTTATAAATAATTCATTTGAAAAATATTTACCAGTTGCACCAAGGGGATGTCCCTTAGATATTAGACCTCCACTAGGATTGACTACGACTCTGCCTCCGTAGGTGTTGTTTCCACTGTCAATGAACTCTCCTGCTTTTCCTTGAGGGCAGAGCCCAAGAGCTTCATAAGTTATCAACTCATTGGCAGAGAAACAATCGTGGAGTTCTACCACGTCTACGTCTGTTGGCTGATATGTAGTTTTGCTGAAGAGTTTTTCAGCTGCTTTACGAGTCATTTCATACCCCACCTGTAAATGGACAATTAATAAGGATTATTCTCATATGACAAGCATATCCACAGCTTTACATAAGCAGAGAACAGTCATAAAAATATGCATACAACATACAACGTGTAAGTTTGTACATTTTTGTCTTGCTAAAGATATATCTGAAACTCTGCTAGGAATGACTAAGACCTGCATTTATAAGCATTTTTCCCACTAATAAACTCTGAAATAAAGATATTTTTAAACTAAAGTACTGATACAAGAATGTACAACCATGGCTATTTAGTTAACTTTGGAGTAAGAGGTAACTTAAGCACAGTATTTATAATAATTTATCAACTATTTTACAAAAAAAGAAGTTGGCAGGCTCTTTTATCTTTGCATTTGCTCGCCCACACAGCCATCAGGCCTGTGTGTAGAATTTTTCCAGCAAAGCAATGGGTAAGCCGGTACTGTACACGGGTGAATTGTACCGATAAAAAGTACAGTTTAGAACCCTCATATCCGACCATGACCATCGTCTAATACCCATGATCAGCGACAGTGGTCATCTTCTGCCGCGCTTGTTTAGTTTGACACTAGGTTGGATATCCCGAGGAGTCGGTTATGCCGAGGTCGGATATGAGGGGTTCTACTGTAGTAGCAGGTACCAGGAGGATCAGAACCCATGACATTGCTGCCTTGGACCTAAGGTTTGTGGTGCTACCGACTGAGCCACCAACTCACAATCTATGGTTATAAAAATATGATTTGGACTAAATATTCATTTACTGTTTTTTTTTTTTAATTATTATTATTATGATATTGTTGATATAGAATTTGTATTTGTTTCTTTTCTAGTTATTTTGTGGCTAATAAAGTTTGTCCAAAAGAAATTGAAGTAATGTTAAGATCTGACTCTATAATCTGGGTTACTCTATGAATAAGAATGCATGTTTTCAATTTCTTTACCACTCCAAAGAATTAATTATAAGGGAAGCATATAATACCTCACCATTTAATAAGTATTTTAAGTTTGAAAGAAATTTTTTACCAGGTTAATAAGACTTTTGGAGTCAAAAGTAGAAGGAAGATCAGTAGTCATCTCCATGCCTACGATGAGGACAGCTTGTGCCTGCAGTTTATGACGGAAAACAAAGTCCTCGTTGGCCAAGATTGCAGCTGCAGCACCGTCTGACGTAGGACAGCACTGTAGCTTGGTCAACGGTCCAAACACTGTCGGTGAGTCTAGAATCTGCTGCAGCGAGTACTCCTGTTGGAACTGTGAATATCTGCGGTAAAAAAACTATCAGTTAGATCTTGGTACAAGATAATGTCGTTACGTCATTGAGACGTAAAACCACTCTACAGCTGGTTACAATCAGGAGAACTGAGATCATCATGCATGTAGGCCTACTCTCTTTTTTGCAAGCATTAAAGTAGGAACTAAAACCAGATGTTTAAATTCCAAACTTCTTCTTTTCAAAAGGATTCATTAAAAACCACCTACATATTACATATTTCATTCATAGTTTATAAGGGAAATAAATTAAATATATTTTAGAAATGCATAAAATCTTGCTTTAATATTTACAAATGTATGGCTATTTCAGATGATTCATTAAGTAGCATTTATTTGTAAAACAAGGCACACAAAGATTTTTTTTCATGTTTCTTTGCAATTGTTATTTTTCAAAGTATTTTTTAAACATAAAATGGGCGTGAAACCCAAATATTTATGTTGAATTATGATGTGTGCATGTAGCTGCACAAAATATGTGACAAGGTATAGTTCTTTTAAAAAGTGGATTTGTAATATTATAATTTTTTATAAACATTCCTGAAAAATGCCCAAAAATTGACGGACACCACAAATGACTGAACCAAGGAGGGTTTAGTTAAATATGGTTGGTTAGCAACTCATACCATTAAACAAAACCTGTATTGCCTACACAACAAAGCTGGAATGATATGTTTTACTAACGGATTGTTGGTGGAATGCTTGTGGTTCTTGTAGGCAATCTTGGCCATATGCTCAGCTTTGGTGCCGTACTTCTCCATGTGTTCTTTGCCAGCATTGCCGAACATCTGAGCAGTGATAGGAGCTGCGTCTAGACCCACCATCTCAGCCATCACTCCTACGTGCTTCTCCATCGGGTTTGTACGGTCATCAAACTGTATCAGAATCAGAATAATTTTTATTGAAAAAAAAAAAAAATTTTGTACAGGGCGAAAGTCACTAGGACTAAAAAACTAAAGCAATCCCTGTTAAAAATAAGGATACATACTTCTCAGGCTATATTGTTTCGATTTAAAAAGAGAGGATCATTATAGCATTCCTCATCAACTAAATATTCCTAGAAGCCTTGCTTAAATTTTGAAAAAATAATTTTAATTCTTTTATTGACCAGGAAGAGAATTACATAGACTGATGCACATGGAGAATGATTGGTTTATGTAAAATGATACAGGAGAATGGAATGGTTCCTCCCAAAATTAAAATTGTGGTAAGGAGACTGACAAGTTTGAACAAGTTTTTGAATTTTTTTTTATAAGACAGATTCTGAAATAAAAACTGGTGGGAAGGTCAGCATATTATTTGAACAAAATACAGATGTGCAAGACTGTCTGTATTTGAGACTTAAGATTAATTTGATGCATAGTTTCCTTTACCCTTAACAGTTTACGTTGTATACACCAAGAAATTGTATACGTGATTTTCACAATGATATTCTGTGTTATAATACAAGTTATCAGAATCACTACTGGTCAGTTTGATTAGCAAGATAAAGTTTTCTCACGACAGACTTACACCATGCAGGTTAGGTTTGAACTGAATTGCTGAAATACAACGCTGATACACCAGAGCTGCTTTTATAAATGGGCCAAGGGAGTCAAGATGTTTTAGGTTTGTTGAGGAACAAGGAAGAGGAAAATTAACCCACAAGGTAGGTGGAGAGGGCTGAAATAATCTCTCAAGCCCATACCACATCACATGCAAATAACCTGTGATACACCATGGTGTTTAAGGGATGAATCTAGAATGTACGGAATAATCAATGAGATTACACTGTGTAGACAATAAACAACAGGAAATAGGCTATCGGTAATTTTTACACTGTTTAAAGCTTAACCAAGATTTTACATGACTTGGCCTCTGACTGGATAAAACTATTGATTTAATTAGATCAAATAATAAAAACGTACTAATTAACAAACAATTTAAAACCTAGCATACATGACTGTAGTTTAGGTTTTAACATTGAATTTGAGTACCACAAGTAGACGTATCATCCTATTGGCAAATCTGAAGCTTGTTTCAATTGAATGTTTCATGTCTGATAAAACCGTTGAGAGTCATGAAATCTACTAATGTGTTAACTGTTCATTCGCAATGAAGCTTTCCATTCAAGAGAAAACTTTAGTATGCACTTAATTTTTTTTGTTAATACACCGAGGAAACAAAAGTTTATCGGTGAATCATTTTATTTTATTTGAATACTCTTGAATAGTAAAATCAATCATTTTCGTTTTACACATATACCAGAGATAAAGAGACCCTATAAATCCCTTCAGCTAGTCCAAAGAATGGCAAATCCATACGGATACGTGGGTTTTATCTACAGTTCTAAAATATAGACCAGCCTCTCAGGTTACCTTTGAAGACAAGGATCCTCTTTCCATCTTCTCAAATCCCAATGCTAAGACACACTCTGCGTTGCCAGACTCCACAATCTGCTTGGCCAGGTAGAGCGCGCTGGAACCCGTTGAGCAGTTGTTGTTGACGTTAAAGATAGGTATTCCATTCATACCGACCTCGTAGAGTGCTCTCTGGCCACATGTTGAATCCCCTGTAACAATTGGCCAAATAGGGGTTATACATATTGTGCTATATGCATTCCACAAAAGCTTGGTACATTTTTATAAGCCATACTGTCACTTTTCAACACAATGTTCTATCTGTGTTTGTTGTATCAGCCACATGATAAAGTTTAATTTTACCCATAATTGTTACTGAGTTTGTTCATCTATAGATACAGATAGTGACTTAAAATAAAATTGATGGCTAGCAGATAAGGTGCAATGAAAAAGGTTCACAAACACAACAATTTTTTCATTTTTCCGAAACTATCCATTGTGATTTCTCCTTGTAGGGTAAATAAAGGACATCGTCCAACGTGAAAAATCAACTTAGTTTCCGATCTAAGTGAGACAATTATTGACGCCTTTCTCCAGGATTCCAAAAATATATGAAAGAAGAAATTTTGGACATGAATTAACATGACAATTTAGTTTATTAGTTAAAATCCTGGACAAAGGTTTAAATAATTTTAACTAAAAGTGGTTTGTCCAGTAGGCAATGTTCTTTATTTACCCTATAGGAAGAAATCACAGGATGAGGATGTCCGGAAAACAAGAAAGCCAGTATGTTGGTCAACCTCGTCCATTTTATTTCTGCTTGTCGTTTTTTTTTTTTTTTAGGTCACAATATGTAATCAAATGAACAAACTTGTCAGCAATTAAAATTAAAACAAAACTTCAGCCAATACACAAAAAACATTGTGCGTTGGAATGTAACAGTATGGCTTGGGTATGAAATTTACAAAATTGCACTAATTCATTAGGTCTTTAGTTCAAACCTCGCCAATCACCAATTGCTTTTAGTTTTTAGCAGTATGATAATGTCAGGACCCTAGACCTATGCGTCCTAAAGCAGGACATAAAATTGGAAGCTATAAATATTTTTAATCTGGTAAATTGGAAACTAAATTGGTAACTAGACATTTATAAACATTAACCATTTTGGTTGTTATTTTTTGGGGGGTATCTAAAAAAAGTTAGGTTAAAATGCAGAGTTAAGTAAAACCTTTAGGCTATGCTAATAATTTGTAATTGAATTTAATTGTTATTTGAATAGTTCATGTTTCTAAAGTTAGTATTGGTTGGCATTACCTTTACAGGAAAAATATCAGCTAGTAAGAGTAACTGGATTTATTTATCGAAAAAAAAAAAACAACAACAACATTTACGTTTATAAATACATTGTTTTAAAATAAATCTATATTTTCATGTAAAAGATTTGACTATTTTTTACAATAGGCCTACTGCATCAAGGAGTTGAGTTTGGCCTGTTCTGGCAAAAAATCTAAATTAATTTTTCTAAATCACCAATTAAGAGTGAGTTTTAATCTCGAGAGAAAAGTTTTTATTAAAATATTACTAACGGAAAACTATTGTAAAGATCAAACAGAATCCCTGTCAATGTCAGCTGGGCGCTCATATTTGGCGGGAAGAGAGACCAGCTGATTCCTGGCAACAGGTGATCAACAATCAGCTGTTGTCTCTGTCTCTCTCCCTCCCTCTCTCGCTACGCCATGTGTTATGTTGGGTCAGGTTTTTGTTTGTCTGCTTGTGTCACTCGCAACAAACATCTGGAATGCTGTTTATTGGCGCAATGTTCTGACTCAGTTTAGTTACTGATCCGATAGTTCAGTAAATTTGAGACTAATTTTCTTTATTTCTCCTACTTTTTATTTATTCTTTTTAATATATATATGGTTCATTTTTTATATTTGTGGACTAAAGACTACTGCCATACATTATAAACACTGCAATCCTAACAACCCATTTCAACAGTAACTAACAAAATAGGACATTAGTATACAGGGTGTGTGTGTTTTTTTTTTAACTTGCTTCTTTATTTATGTAAACACTGCAATAGATAGAAATATGCAGTTTGCAAGGTACCCCTTTTGACCATAAAAATGCTTTCAACTCTGCTAGCTCTTGCCGTTTTCGATCTGTACAGCCGTTTTAAAAAACGTGTTTTTCTTAAAAAAAAGGGTGGCGAAAATTTCCGATTTTGAACTGTCATAACTTTCGATATGATTGACGTAGAGATCTCTAGTTTGCGCTATTATTTTTTATGCCCTCACATTTGATATGGCAAAAGGAGTACCTTGCAGTTTAAAAAATTTAAGTTAAAGGGGGGGGGAGAAAGGGGGTGAATGGGAAGTTCACATTAAATTCACAACAATTGTGCCCCTACGTCAATAGACGATTCCCGCTAAATGCATATTTCTATATATTGCAGTTTTTACATAAATGAAGAAGCAAATTAAAAAAAAACACCCTGTATGTGAAAAAACGGCTAGTGAAAACGAATTTCTGAAGATAAAATAATTCAAGCTGTTTCAGCAGGACAAGCAATTGTAATGGAACATTTGATAAATATTACAAATAGGCCTAAACAAAATCTAGCATATCTGTTTGAAAAATTAAACATTTAAACCGTCAACATTTAAACCGGTAATAGTAGTATATATTCTGTGACTATAGCCTACATTCTACAGTATGGTTATCTCTTCTAAACAGTAAGATTGCGAACATGGTTTTTAAACATATAAATATGACTATCGACAATACCAGCTTAAGCTAGATGTTTACTAGGACAAAATTATACTGTAGTAGTCTACACGATGGAAAACAATAGTATCTTCTTCAAATAGGCCAGATGCTGGTCGGATGCATCGAAGGCTAGAGGGATTATCAGTTTTCAGGTCTAGTTGTGAATGATAACATTTCATTCTGTAAAACATCAAAATATTCCTACGCCGATGGTCCTTTTTATTAGCGAATTTCCCTATAGGGAAGTAGCTATTACCGTAGGTCTCATGGTAAGACTTAGGCCCGGGACCGATTTACTTTTTCATTTTGATGTCCCCAGAGGCCAAAAACACCATTCGTTCAAATTTTTATATATGTATATATATATATATATATATATATATATATATATATATATATGTGTGTCCGTGAACACGATAACTTGAGTAATTTTTATCCGATTTTGATGAAATTTGGTTTGAAGGTGTAAGGGGGGATAAACGAACGAGTTCGCGATCCAGCATGATCGGACCATGGGAACAGTGTTTTATGGGGGGTTTTATGGGGTAAAAATTGGTTTTTCTCACTTTTGACCCTCTAAATACAAAATTTCCCAATTTTTCTCCAAACCTTCTTAAAGAGCTTAAAAAAACAAACAATTCAGTATATCAAAGTGTTTTTGTACGGTTATTGGTTACGGAGAAAACTAAAAAAATGGTAAATTTAAAATTCCCATGTTATTCTTATGGAGAATATTGTAAAATGTTGTAGTTTGCTTGTTTATGGATATATTTTGATCAAACTTGGCAAATTTATTTATTTTATAGTAAGCTATCAATATTTTACTAAAAACACACTACTTTATTAGTTTCCTTGTAGCAGCAAACCTAGGTACTCGTACCTAATGTACCCAATGTTATTTAAATAGATCAATTAAAAAACCAATTCAGCCAAATGGAAATTCGCTTAGACGGCAGGTTTGCTGCGGCGGGGGTATTTTTAAACATGTTTCGTCATACTTCGGATTGCGGCAAAGTAGGATATTCAATATGTTGCTTGGCTGGCTGGAGTTTTTTTCCAAAGGACAATAAAGATTTAGCAAAGTCGAAGACATCAAATTTTACATTTATTTTCATATATGTAAAATTCGTCCGCTGATATTGCCAAAGGAAACAGCCCCAATCAGCAAACATACTAATGTCATATCCTAATAATTACTGTAGTTTTGGTCTATCATTGTGTCATTTTGTCTATTTTACCCCTTTATCAATATTTAGATTCTGTATATTGAAATGTAAGCGATTTTCAACGATTAATTTACCATAGTGTTGGAGTAATACAACATTGAGTCCAAATAACGGTAACCGCTGTTCTGGTACAAAAGCAAAATAAGAAGTACCCCACTTTGTGATCTAATTTACAAAGACAAGAATGTAGGAAATTTACGTGTTGTGGAATATTTATTTTCAAAATAGTGCGGTATGACGACAAATATAGTCCATCATACAATGAATTTTCAACTTATGATCATTTTCCGACCTCGGCATCAGCTCGGTGGATATACGGTCACACTACATCACTGACCCACAAACCTATAATCTCACTGGGACTGTTGCCTCGTTCTTCCCTTCCGAAGGGATTTTAAATATGAAACGAGTTTTCACTTTGGAATTCCTTTTCTCTACCCCTCACCAGTGGGGTTCTAGCAAATAACCATTCAAATTGAGAGCACAAATAAAAAAAATCGAGCCTCAACTGTTTATTTTACGTTTTTATGTACGTGCTTTGGGAACCTTAAAACATTATTGAAACACTAGTGATAGCCATTTCAATAAATAAAAAATTAACTAGAAGAACAAGAAGAAGAAAGATGTGCCTTGAAACAATCTAATGTTGGCACAGTGTTTACACATACACACAAAAAACAACGGCCAAATACCGTCTGTTATGTGGTTGACATACTGTTTATAAAAGAAAAAACTTAAAAAAGAGTTCATGAATCACACCATACGATTCTTCAAAAAATAAACTCCACTTCAGTAAAACGTTTGTCGTTTATACTACCAACGTTTACAGCCTATTTGCAGATTTAGCGTTATGTACTAGCAATATAATAACTATTAAAATATAATTTAGATCAGTAATCATAGGTAAGCTAATTTATTTCATGGAATAAGCAACAATCACGACGAAATTGAAAGAAAGCCTGGGGCCGTCACACAAGCTCATTTGATCACATTCTGAATACGTTTGGCTGTATAATTTAGCCAAAATATAAATATATGAAATAAAGTTATACCGGTAAATCATTTCTCCTTCTTAATTTCCAATAGGCCTACTACATACAGTTTACTGTCCTGTAATGATATACATGTCTGCTCTTCTGCATCCGCAGTTTGTGACGGATAGGCATCAAGCTTAAACTTATATAGGATTTGATTGTTTTCCAAATCACTAGACGCAATCCAAAACCGCGTTCGAACGCTTTATGCCAACATTTGTGTTTATGGTCGAAAAGGCTATACACTTTTTTATATGGCACAAGGTTGAGTGTCTCGAGTAAACAAAATAAATATTTAGAAACACTTACCAGTATATTTTGCGAAATTATAGGACATAAGGGTGTGTCCTAAATTTATGGTTATTTGCTATACAGCTATTATCCAACCTGGCTTTGCCAGTTCCACATACATTTTAGAAGGGACCCTCCTTATTAATACTTTATAGTATAAGTGTAATGTGGGACACACTGTTCTCTATCTTTTATTCTTCCGTTTAAATTCTCTCATGAACATCTTTCTACATTGTCTTTTGCTTCCTACTCATTAGTGTGGTGCAAGAGAACTCGCATGGGCATTTCCTAAACTAATTTCATTGTTTTGTCAAGGTCCAATAATGGTTTGTTCCCTGTAAACCGGTAACACTTGATTGGATTAAGCAATAAATCTAAATAAACTGGAATTTACAGGCGTAATTATTTGCATGATTTATTACAAGTTCCATAGGTGTAGCACAGATTTTAAATACAATATGAAAATGTTAGTATTACGCCTTAGAGTTAGCTTAAGCCCTGTGTATAAAGGTATGGTTTATTTAATATTCCATACGGCTTCCATTAAATTATAAGTAGGTAAACAGAAAAACGCATAGAAAAGTTCGCATATGTATAAAATTACCGATTATGATTCATAATATAATACTAAAATTATACTATGACAATATTAGTCACTTCATTAACCGTAAACATACTAAAAGGAGGTGGCCGCGAAAATATATTCATGAGACCTTGAAATTTCTGATGTATTTAAATTTCAAATGCCCTATTGATAGCGTGTCTACTGTCTACGGCTCGAGAAGCAGAGTAGAATGACAATCAGTTTTTATTTTAGGTACTCACAAAACTACTTTCATTTTATTCATTTATCACACAAGAAAATCCCAAAAAAGTATGCAAGTTTCAATGATCGAGATATATTAATGATCCAGCTTGATTCATCCAAACATTCTGCATAACGTGAAAAAATTCACATACACGTACTAAATAAATAATGACTTTTGTGATCCGTGTAAATGATTTGTTCAAAGAAATTTACGATTATTGCTAGTTGCGCAATATCGTAAAAGGGGAGAACAGTACAAAGGCATTTGCCAACTTCGTCATAATCCTGATTTAGTTTTTGAAAGACAGTGTTGAATGGTATTCTAGAGCATATTTATTTAGGAATCAGTTTAATTTATCAAGTTACATGAGGCCCATACGAACTTTAGAATAAAAAATACTTTAATACTTTTTAATGAAATGGCGACCATACAAAGTAGGTATTTTAAGCCAAGTATGAATGGAGATGAGTGTAGGATGAGTGGCGCGATCTTGTAGTCTTGTTGGTGACTAAGGTCGACATATTCCTTAGACACAGCTGTTAATTAATAGCCCATTCAGCTAAAAGCTACTAAGGGACCTACAGTTTATAGTCGAATCCGAACCACAGTTTTGCCTTGGTATTTACGAATTGGTCTAATTATCAGGATAGCACTGCGGATCGTTACTCACTAGTGCGGACGTTAATCCACACCAGGGAGTATCGCATCCACAATGCATGCCAATAAATATCCACAATTCGTGACCTCCTAGTAGCTGGATTACAGGACTCTAATATAATATAATATAATAACAATGGACAGAAAACTGTTTGCATTTTGAATAAATGTTAGGTGTAGTTTCTAGACACATTGTAAGTAAATGACGTATTTTTCTGATTTTAAACAGGTCCATCTGGATGTAATATTAAAGTAGTAGGTAATACCCGGTTCAGATTCGAAGGACCAAGTTAGTTAGGAGGAATGACTAACTGAATGAATGATTAACTTTCGAAAAACAAAGAGTTATTCGCTAGAACATAAAAGCTGGATATTAAATATTTATTTTAAATCACAATTTGCATCACTTATAAAGTCTATACACCTTTACCTCCTTACATAATTCTCCTTTCCTATATTTACAGAAAGGAATACACAAATGCGTTTACACGCGCAGGTAGCCAGCCTATAGGGTGAAACGGGGTAGCGGAATTTTATCCCCCTGAGCAAAACTGACGTCACAATCAAGGGGGTAAAATTCCGGCCGCGAACTTTTGAGTTGCACATAAGTTCAATAAATTTAAGGTGGAATTAAACGTATATTTTTTATGGTTGTGAATTTAATCAGAAAACATCAAATTATAAAACCTAGAGTGTACAGGCCAGAATTTTACCCCCAGACTTTTACCCCCTTCGTGAGGTCAGCTCAAAATGTACGGATTTGTACCCCCGGAATTTTACTACCTGGGGCCCGTTTCATAATAATAATAAGTTGTAACTTGTAACTTGTAATTTCCATATGATTTGCATTGGGCGATCAGCTGATTTACTAATAATATTAGTTTTTAGTTGATTATAAAATAGGCCCCTGGCCAGATATAGAAATTATTGAGAGTAATTGATTTTCTTCTTTCAGTTGTTAACTTATTCAATAATAAACAGTTTTCCAGTCACGGACACTCAAATTTAGTTGTCAAACAGTTCTAATCTAACCTAACCTAACCAACCAAACTTGCTGTAACATTTCGAAAATCTGTTTTATATTCACCACATTCATTTTCTACTATCCAAAGGAATTACTCGAATTGAAATTACATAGCATGATTCGTCTAGTGGGTGTAGTATTCCAGTCGCGGACACGGCTTCCATATTGGTTAGTTAGCAGATTTTGTGATGTCACGTTTCACCTGGGGGTGGTTTTCCAGGGGATAGTATTCCGCATCCCCGCTTAGGGTCCTACATCATAGTGACGTCAGCCCAGGGGGTAAAATTCCGCCGACCCGTGAAACTGCGAAACTAATGCTAACAGACGACTCATTGGGAAACCTCAACTGCCCAGTTGAACTCAAAAGTTCACCAATGTACACTTTTGACTCACTTTCACATCCGATAACGCTAGGCTCTCAAAAGAGTTCCATTTATCACGAACAAGTTTTAAACATTACTTCAGGATAGGCCAGAGAGTCGCGGGATTATGAGATTGCTAAAAGCCATTATTGATATACTGAACTTGAACGCACCCAGCGTCGGTTACCGAGGCCTTGTGCTATACCACTAGACCAACTCCCGAACCATACAGAACGGCTAAAACTATTTATGTGATAAGAACGATTAATCTTTACCGTATACATATCCAACAGTGGCTTGTTGGACATCGTCGATGTTTAGATGGGCGTCCTTCAGGGCTTTGGTGACGGCTTCCACAGCCATCTGAGGGTAATCGAAATCTTGCCTCCTCCCGGGCTTCTCGAACTGTCAACAAAAGAGTTTGATTAGTATTTCAACCACCATTGAGCACAGAAACCAGATGTCAATCTGCCAAAGGTCTTCCCGGCAGATTCTCTTTGGAATGTTTCCCTGTAAACAAGTCCCACGAACTTTGCGGGATGTGTGCCTCGGACTCACGACTGTTTTACACAGGTGCACTATGCACCTAGGCATGCGGCACTTTAAATGGCAGTTCATTTATAAAACCCAAAACACATGTATCGGCAATAATCCTACAAGAGATGAGTTCAATTCAATGGAAATGTACCCTCAGTGAAGCAAAACATGTTGACAAACATTTAACATCACTATATATAGTCAACCTGAAATGAGTTGTAAACCTATTTAATGAGTACTATTCTCGTTAATATTTAACGAGAATTTAAACTTAAGATTAAAGGAGAGAGAACGCTGTGTCCCACATTACACTTATGCTATAAAGTATTAGGCCCGGTTCACACGAACGACATACCTAGCAGACTAGGCTTGGACTAGGTAAGCACGACTGGATAGCGGACCACAGGATCACACCGGACACGAGCGACATGTCCACGGACTAGGTAAGATGTATGTGGAACTGGCAAAGCCAGATTGGATCATAGTTGTTCAAATAACCATAAATTTAGGACACACATTTGGTTATTTCCCCTTATGTCCTATAATTTCGCAAAAAATACTGGTAAGTGTTTCTAAATATTTTTTTTGTTTACTCGAGACACTTAATCTTGTGCCATATAAAAAAGGTTTATAGCCTTTTCGACCATAAACACAAATGTTGGCATAAAGCGTTCGATCGCGGCTAGTTTTGGATTGGATATATCCATGCAGTAAATAGTTCAATTATTTACATGTATTTAACAGGTTACTTTGAGTACATCAAGTACACAAAAAACGAACATATTTAGTTAAGTATGCATTATTACGAAATTATTTATCGGAGCAAGCGTATATCAATATGAATACTTAACTTCGGTATGTTCAATATTGAATCTAGGTCAGGCTCGATTGTTTAATGATGCAAAACCACCTTTGTTAACAATGTCGCATCATACCGTTGCAGACCTTGCTAATCAGACAATCAATTCATATTCACAACATAGTGTAAGTATAATTAAATCAAGCTTACAATAATAAATTATGTATTATTCAACTAATTAAATTTCATGTCGTAACAATTTAAAATTCAATTTTAAAAGTTATAAAGTTAAATAGTTTCGTGCCTACCCTTTTACAAAACAGTAAAATGTAAAAATCTTTAAGTAAAATATATTTTAAAATTACAAAGTAAGAAACACGTTAAACTATTTCTCTAGTGTTTAGCGTAGTCTTAAACCAATGAAACTACACGAACGCATAAAATAGTATTTATGTATACAGTGTTAAAAAAATCTGACCACAGGCCACTGCACTGACCCACAGGCTTTCAAAGTTGTCAACTTATTTTTATGGAGGACACATTTTATGTTATGCTTTATCACAATGATTATGAGATACAAATAAAAAAGTACTATATTTTGTTAACATAACAGGTTTTAATTCAATTTCCTTATATTAATAATGGAAGTTTGGTAAATGCACCAAAATTGTCCGTTGAATTACTTGGGGATTATTACAACATAACAGCAATGTTATGGGACATCGCGGTCGCGGACAACACTAGGTTTCTTCAATAGTTAACCGCATTTTGACAGTCTTAAAATGTCACATCAAACGTCAATCGCCTGGATAAAATCCAAACGACTATATCATTAATACAGTAGATCAATATTAGATGAGTGAACGAAATGAACGAATCTATGTATCGTGTATAGCGGAGTCGGAGAAAAGTTGTCCGCTTGTGTGTGTGTGTGTGTGTGTGTTCGCACCAAAAACTCAAGAACCGTTGCACTTATAATGTGTTCAAATTTTGCACAAATAATTATGACACCAGTGGGAAGACACCATTAAAATTCTAGACGATTCCGCTCAGTAGTAATTATAAAATACTTAAAAAACATTTTTAAATTTGTCCCATAAGAATAACATTAGGAGCTACCTTCTTCTTCTTTTTATTTGTTTACGTTTTGCGACGAACAGTTTTTTTGTCTACTTAAGACAGAGAGAACGACTTTTACTCTAAGCTCTTTCATTCATGGAGTAAACAGTTTGGCGTCTATGAATATATATAATTATAATTTCACAGCTTTCAGAATAATGTTATTTAAGCTAATTAAATTTCACAACTTTCAGATTAATAAATTGAACTTAACAATATTAGTCGGCAGTTATATACCGTTTATGTTCAGTATTAAAATTCACCTTTAAATTAAAAATATATATGTATGTATTTAGAACAAAGCAGCTTTTTACATTATTCAATTTAATGTTGGCATTGAATATTAAATATTCAAAGATGTTAGTGAAGAGGGGGGCAGGTCCACGACGTAGAGAGTGGTAAAGGAAGCGGAAAGGTGAGCAGTGAAAAGAAAGGAGTACGGAAACCCTTTATAACAGTTAAATTAATGTATCTGTAATACTTAGTCTATGGTAATACTTAAATGCTATGGAAATATAGGGAAACAGGTCTACGATGTAGGGAGTAGTGAAGTAGTGAAGGAAGTAGTCAAGGCGAGCATTCCGGAGTGTAGAACCCCTTTGTGATAGTTAGAATAATGTACAGTATCTGCAATTCTAAAAATGCTATTGGAAGGGAGGGAAACAGGTCCACGACGTAGGAAGTGGTGAAGGGAGTCAAGGTGAGGAGTCCGGAGTGTGGGAACACTTTGTGACAGTTAGATTAATGTATCTGCAATAATAAAATGCTATGAGAAGAGAGGGAAACAGGTACACGACTTAGGAAGTGGTGAAGGAAGTAGTCAAGGGGAACAGTCCAGAGTGTGGGAACTCATTGTGACAGTTAGATTAATGTACCTGCAATAATAACATTCTATGGGAAGGGAGGGAATCAGGTCCACGACGTAGGTAGTGGTGAAGGAAGTAGTCAAGGCTAGCAGTCCTGAGTGTGGGAGCCCTTTGTGGCAGTTAGATTAATGTACCTGCAATACTAAAATGCTATGGGAAGGGAGGGAAACATCTCCACGACGTAGGAAGTGATAAAGGAAGTAGTCAATGTGAGAAATGCAGAGTGTGGGAACCATTTGGTGACAGTTAGATATATGTATCTGCAATGAAACAGTTGCAATACTAAAATGCTTTGCCCTGTTTAACTTTAGATGACCCCGTTTAATTTTCAAGATGACCTCGTTCGCATGGCTCAATCACGTCCTGGTTGAAGTTCGTTCGCTACGCTCACTTACCTTTAGGTTGGAGCCCGTTCACTGCGCTCACTTGCCTTCAGGTTAGCTCGTTCACTACGCTAACTCGCCTCAGGGTTGAAGTTTGTTCGCTACGCTCACTCACCTTTTGGTTGCAAATTAGTAAAAGAAATAATAGTGCTGCACCCTGTTGGTAATCCTTGTAACTTTAATGCTATTGAACATCATAGAACAGAACCAACTTGTTTAATTGAAACAGCTGTTAAGATTCATTAATTCCATTTCTCATAAGGTTAACATGGGAAACTCCAGAGCCACTGGGGCGGACCCCAGAGGTCGGAGGGTAAAATCCTTTCTTAGTGAGCGTCTACTACCCAAAAGGAAGATGCCTGCCAAGTTTCAGGTTCCTAGGTCTTATGGTTTCTGAGATTTCGTGATGAGTGAGTGAATGACTGAATGAGTCAGTGGTACGATATTTTTTGGAGATTCCTTACACTGTGCTTTGGCAATTTATTTAAGTTAAATTAGTTCAGTTTGGCTTAGTTTTGTTTATGATAGGCCTCATAACAAATATGGAAATAGGCTTCATTTAATCAAAAGACGTTTTGTACAGGAACGATGGATTTACCTCCAATCGATAACTGTTGGAAATCCATTATGTATATTACCAAAGACTTTGGTTAATTAATGGACGAGAAGTTAGGATTGTTGTTGACTGAGATTTGGTTGATTTGCCCATACAAATAACATTATTGTGTTCACCAGTGACACCGGTAAGTAGGCTAGGTGTGGGTGGACTCTTTCATTATTGCGCTCATGTTCACTCATCCCGTTACGCGCAGAATAAGCGTACTACTAGTATAACTATTACATGATTACTAGTAATAAATAAATAAGAATTGAATCTGTTATTTTTATTTATTCGTGATAGTAAAATTATAGTTAATGGAAAAGCTAACGCATTTTAATTCCTGGAATTGGCCATCATGCAATCGGGTAGGTGTAGCGGATTTTTACCCCTGGAATTCTGGAATTTTACCCCCTGGCCAGATATATAACTTAGTGAGAATGATTAATTATCTTCATTCTGTTTTAATTTAATAGTAAACATTTTATTATTAAGTAGCCTATTTGTAACATCAACTAATTGAACAGGTTTTTGATTTTAATTTTGAGATTCGAGTATCACGATTCGATGTTTTAAGCCGACTGTTGATTAATATGACAAATAAACAAACATCAGAATGGTAACTGATTCGAAGATTTCTTTAACCATTTATTATACAACCGTGGTAAAACAATGTTTTCGTTTGTATTTTAACAATGACAAAATATGCCTTATTGTTTCTTTACGAAGAAATGTTCACCCAATTATCATTTAAATGAGCTACTCAGTTTATTTTACATACTTATTAACCAAAAGTTGGCCCCAAACGCAAATCCCGAACATCAAAATAAAACAGCGAAGTCTGTTTACTTAGTTGAGATTACAAAATAAATAAATAAAGATAGGCTACTAAATAATGAAATGTTTACAATTAATTAAAAACAGAAATACGAAAATCAATCAATCAATGCATTTGCATTAATTTGCATCATCATTTAAAACATTGAGTGGAAAAAAAATATTGTTTCATTACAGATATTGTAATTGATCTTAGAAACAAAAGTGAATTGTGTGCAGCTTAATTTTGTGATTTTCTGCATAGTCAAATTAAAGCAGTGTTGTAA